TATTTGCTATACCCAAATACCTACATGAGCAAACTTAAGCTCCTCCACCTGATGCATAAGCTATTTTATAATCTAGGCATTTTTTTTCTTTTAATTCCATTATATTCATCGTTCTCTACTCTCTCTGTACGTGGAATGTTTGACATTTGCTGACTTCTCATAAGTACCATGTTGGACATCTCTCTATGCTTTTATGTGCTCTGCCTAGAATGTTTCCTAGGAAAGACTTTTCAAAATTTTTTTAAATTTATTTTTTATTCATTTTTTTAAAGTAGTTTCCATGACCAACGTGGGGCTTGAATTCAGAACCCTGAAACCAACAGTCAGATGCTCTACTGACTGAACCACCCGAGCACCTCTGGAAAGACTTTTAAAATTTCTTTCCAACCTCCTGTCCATATACTTGTGCCCTTCCCCACCATGTCCTATGGAGTGGTGCTATCCAGTAAGGTAGCTCCTAGCCATGTGTGGCTGCTCAAATGTAGGTTCAACTTAATAAAATAAAAAATTCCGTTCCTCGGTTGCGCTAACATATTTCAAGTGCTCTTTAGTTACATGTGGACCAGGGACTACTGTATAGGCTAGCACAGGTGAAGAACTTCTTTATTAGAGAAAGTCTCTTAGCTAGCCCTGCAGAGGGTTAATCATACTTTTCTCATGTTGCCTCTTCCTCTGATACTTTGTCGATACCTCCTTTGATTCCATTGTTGGAATTGTACTATTTACTTATTTATTTGCATGTGTTTTTCCTTATTAAGGCAGTGAAAGACTGGAGGGCAGAGTTACCTTCCCTTCATCACTGTATTTGGTTTGGAGTTGAGAGTTTAGCATATTAAAGCTTCCAATGAAAGTTTGAGTTAAATTGATCCAGTGAATTTTAGAAGGGAGAATTGCCTTTACTTGAAGGCTTCTAATCGTGAAGTAGTCATATGTCAGCATCTTTTTTGTATGTATATAATAATAAATTATATATTACCTATAATATCATAAATGTTTTATATAATGTATGTGTATTTAAGAAAATAAATTTAAAACTATTAAAAACCTATTTCAACTTACTGAAAGACTAATACTTAAACATCCATATATACTTACCTTAGAATCAAAAATAGCTAGCATTTGCCATGTTTACTTCCATTTGTCTTTCTTTCTCTTTTTATGAGTGTGTGTGTGCATGTACATATGTATAACATTTTCTTGCTTCTCCCAAATACTTCGATTATATTTCTTAAGAATAAGGATATACTCTGCATAACTATCATACCCTTCATATGTAAGAAAATTGGCATTAATACTGAAATTTCTTCATTTGTCCCCAAAATACCTTCTATAGCTATATCTTTTCATCCAGAATCCAATCACTGTTTGTGTATTGCATTTTGCTCTGTTTCATCTGTTTTAATCTAGAAAATATTACTGTGTTCATTTATTTTTTTAATAGCATAGACATATTTGAAGAGTTCAGGCCAGTGATTTTTTTATAAAATGTGCCATTTTCTGGATTTGTGTGATTGCTTTCTCATGATTAATTTGAGGTTAAAGTTTGGTATGAAGCCTACATAAATAAAATAAATAACATAAATAAAAGTGTAACATTTTTTGGACTATAGTGGGAGGCACATAATTCCAAACTGTCCATTAATGGTGATTGTAAGTTTGATATCTTAAGGTGGTGACCACTGTATCTCTTATCATTCCTTTTGTAATTAAAAATTATCTGTAGGGTCAGATCATGTGACTATCCCGTTCCCCAACAATCTTTTACTCACTCTTTTACCATCCATTCATGATCTTTCCTTGACTCACTAAAATGCTAATTGCTACGAAATGATCATTAGAAAAAAATTAGAAAATTTTATCATTTCGTTTACAGGTATTTCCTCACATATTTCTGTAAAGAAGAACTATCGTTCCATTCCTGCATTTTCTCCTTTCCTCCTTCTTCTCCCTCCCCCAACTTTTTTGAGTATCATTATGGACTCATGAATTTTTAAAACTCTATTTAATGTGTTATAATAAATGACCATAATTATTATTTTTGGCACCTCTATTATTCCATATTTAGCTGGTGGGAACCCCTTTCAACTGGCCATGTGTCCTTTTATATAATTTTATTTGTTTCTTGGATACTTTATTGCTTTTTGAGACATCAAGGTATTCCAGCATTGCACTGTCCTTTCTCTGCCCTGGACCTGAGCTCAGCTATTTCAACAGGTAGCCCCTCTTCCTGTTATTGGAGAATAGAATTTAGAAACCAGGATCTGGTTGCAGGTCATGACCATTGCTACTGAAGAAGTGTTATTGCTTCTTCAGTACACAGAACTAGGAACTATAATTTTTGAAAAGGCATTGGTTTATACTGCCACAGAAATTTCCTTTACAGTTCCCCTTTTATATGGATTTCTGTTCTTCCAGAGTGAAAAACCCTGCTTTCCAGCACCACCAGTATATTTACTCATTAGCTCTACCCTTCAATATTCTTCAGTTGATAGTACAATGTCAACATTATACCACTAGCAAGCCTACTAAGTACACTTCACAGTTTCTTTGCAGATTTTTTCTCCTAAGAATCTATCTCATTAAAAATATATACTCAGAACACTGTACTTGAAAGTCACTTGAACTCTTGTTGATACACAGCATCATTTGTTTCTGTTTTACTCTGTTTGAGGGTTTGCTTTTTCATCCTTTTTGAAGTTGCATTCTCATTTTCATCCTAAGTACCAATGCCCACCCATCCTCTGTGAGAGTGAAACTTTTCAGATAAGTTTGATTTCTGAGCCATGTTCCTGTTTTCCATAAAGTTAAACTAACAGGATTCATCAGTAATAATGACTCTTTTTAGCCTTAATAATGCTTTTTGCTTCATGTCTGTTATTAGCATTTCTACATCAGCTTTTTTTGCTTGGTTTTCAGTTGGCCTGATTGTCTTTTTCTGTCCCTTTAATCTATGGGTGATTCTGTTTTAGGTAATATGTGTACAATTTGAGAAACCGATTTTTATCTAGGTTACTTTGTAATTGCTTTTAATTGCTTTGAATTGTTTTTATGCTATGATATTTTCTGGCTTCTCCCCTTCTTTTTTCTTTCTTGCCTTTTATTGTTTTGATTTCTTTTTACTTCATTTATTCTAATTGTTTGAAAGTGATACATTCTATGTCTTTTCTTTCAATGGTCATTTAAAAAATACTTATTTTTGAAAGCGTGAAAGCAGGGGAGGGGTAGGGAGAGGGGCCAGAGGATCCAAACCAGGCTCCATGCGTACAGCAGCAAACCTGATATGGGACTCAAACTCACAAACCATGAGATCATGACTTGAGCCAAAGTTGGATGCTTAACTGACTGAGCCACCCAGGTGCCACTTTATAGTCATCCTTGTCGTGCTTGTTAGTGTGTGTTGAATGTTCAGTCAAATAAACCCATACCTCTTTTTCATATGAACTGCCAAATGAGTTTGATGAATTCTGTACTTTCACAATTTTTTCCACTAAAAGAAAGGAGGTTACATGTTTGTTATTTTTTAAAATTTTATAACTTTAATTTGAAAAGAAAGGGCCTCAGTCATGCTATATGAAGAAAACTTGACAGAAAATCGGACTCACCACACTACCTTTCCTTTGTAGCCTGCCAGCCACTCGCCTCTCACACCACAGGAACTTGCACAGTGTTGAAGCCAGGAATCTTATTTTCATTTTTATTTACTTATTTTATTTGAAAGAGAGAGAGAGACACAGGCAGAGACAGAGACAGAGAGAGAGAAAATATCCCAAGCAGGCTCCACTCTTAGCACGGAGCCTGATTGGTGTGGGGCTCAGTCTCATGAACTGTGAGATCACAACCTGAGCTGAAACCAAGGGTCAGTGCTTAACCAGCTGAGCTACCAGGCACCCCCAGAAATATTATTCGGATTACTGCTCTATCCATTATGCCTAGAAAAGTGTCTGTGCATTAGCTAGACCTCAAGAGATATGAGTTGATGAATAAGAAATATTTATTCTGGAGAAGAATGAATGGGGCAGTAGTGGGATGGAGGGCAGGAGACATAAGGAATATTTCAGTTTGAAGGGCTTGCCTGTAGGACAGTCATTCTGTTTATTTAGTCTTTCTGCCTGTGGCCCTGAGGATTGAGTGAGCGCTACAACAGGGGAACAGAGGGCTGTCTGCTCTCAGGATTGTGTGGAGGAAGAGAAAGTGGCTTCATTATACTGTTAGGTCCCAGTTATTCCAGGAGAGATTTGTTAGAGGTAACCTGGAAGGGATTCAGTAGTGCTTACTCATTCTGGGATTCTGTGCTCAGTGGATGGAATGCGTTGCCATCCTTTGTGTGCAGCCAGATTTTGGCACACAGGTAAGTTAGATTTTCATCTTAAACTTGCCAGATGATGATCTTAACCTTACTAGTAAAGTGATCATTTAACAGCATACCTCTGGATAGCCATTTGCCACAGACTCTCATTCTGCATTCTTCCTTAGTAATCCCTTGTGTTTTCAATTTTCTGTTTGGGTAAATTCGAAAGGCAATAAGTAGGTAGATCACTTGTATGAATCACAAATTTGTCCTTTCTGTAAGAAAGCACACAGTGAAAGGCAGTCTGCATATTTTCTCTGAATTTTGTTTTTGTTTTCTTTTAATTTTTTTAATGTTTATTTTTGAGAGAGACAGAGCATAAGTGGGGAGAAAGGCAGAGAGAGACAGAGACACAGAATCCTAACCAGGCTCCAAGGTCTGAGCTGTCAGCACAGAGCCTGACACGGGGCTTGAACCCACAAACTGTAAGATTATGACCTGAGCCAAAGTCGGACACTTAACCAACTGAGCCACCCAGGTACCCCTGAATTTTGTTTTTGAGTTATTATAGAATTATCTTGGTCTGATTTAGATAATTACTAAAAGTTAAAGACAAAATGGGACAAGGAAAATACAGTTTTATTAGTACCTGACAATCTCAATTAGTGCCTTGACGGCTGCTTATAATAAAAATCTCTTCTCTTTCTCTTAGGGCTGCTGCTCAGAGTAAATTAGGTCACTACACAGATGCAATAAAGGACTGTGAGAAAGCAATAGCAATCGATTCAAAGTACAGCAAGGCCTATGGGAGAATGGGGTAAGTTTTGGCAAAATGTTCAAAGTAGTACCAAGGAGTATCAGATGTGCTGTTCTTAATGGCATAGTTTTCAGTTTCCTGCTGAAATATTGTACTCTCTATTAGGAAGATAAATATAACATTAAGAGAGGAAATGACTGCAATTTCTATGACTTGGAATAGAGATGATCATTTGTATGAATGGTTGGTTGTTGGAGAAAACCATACAACCATACTCGTAGACTCACTTCCTGTTCAGGGCCACAAATCTCAAATGAGCACTCAATATGTTGGTGGACAATCCTACTGTATTTCCTTCTAAATTCACCTTACTATGCTGAGTTGCTGCTTCCTATTTATCTCTCTTCAAATTTCTACCACACCCTCCATGGCAACTCTCAGCTGATGATATTGCCTTGCACTAACTAAGAAAATAGATGCATTTAGAAGAAAAGTAATTCTTCCTACTTCCAAATCAACCCATCTACCTGCATTTGTATCCTCACAGACTGCCTTTTGTTCCTTTTCAAATGGAAGGGTTCTTATTTAAGACTTGCCTTCACTCATGCCTTAGATCTCATCCCTTGGTAGCTTCTTCAGGACTTTACCCTTGGAGTCCTCTCCTTTATCTTCTGCAACACCAGGTTTCCTGTCTCTAACAGTGGCAGTGACTGCATGTGGAAAGGTCCTAGAAAATCACCCACTGGAACCATGATTTTATTCAGTGAGGCCGTTTCCCAGCTCCTCTTTTTCTGCCTTGCCCCCATGGCTGCCTGTGTTTGCTCTCTCATCTCCCTCATGTTTCATTTGCTCTCTGCTCACTCCAGTAGGGCCTTTGTCTCTATCACTCCACTAACAGCCCTATTCAAGGTCACCAGTTGTCTATATTTTGCCAAGGCCAGTGTTCATGTCTGTATCCTTACCCTGCTCCATGTTTTAGTATTTGACACAATTAACTTTTTTTTTTAAGATTCCTTATCTAAGTAATTTCTACGCCCAGTATGGGGGCTTGAACTCATGACCCCGAGATGAAGAGTCACATGCTCTTCTGACAGCCAGCCAGCTGCCCCAGCATGATTAACTCATTTTTGAAATACTTCATTCTCTCTGCTTCTGTGACATCCCACTTCCTAGTTTTCCTTCTACTTCTCTGGGTGCTCTTTCACAGTCTGTCTTACTGTTTCTTCCTTCTTTTCTGCCTCTAAATAGTGGTGTACTTCAGGACTTTCTCTCCTGCTGCTGCTGTTTGCCTGTTCTCTCTTCTGACTCCATCCTGTCCCATGGTTTTAAATTCTATCTTCAGTCAGTACTCATTATTCCTGGATTTGCCTACATGCTGCAATTTGTTTGCACCTCCCATATCAGTACTCACTATGCTTTGGTGTTCATTCACAGAAGGGTGAAAAATTTGAGTCACACGTCTATCATGCCAGTTCTCCATAGAGGTCCGATGAGGCAATGCTCTGCCTTTTTGTTTTAGCTTTTATGCTGTAAACGAGTGTCTTTTTCACAGTTGTTTTAGTGCTGTGTTTTTTTTTTTTTTTCATTTTGCATTTTTGCCTTTTGTGGTTGATTTCCCTGTTTACAGTGGCCATGAAATGTAGGCTGAAGTGTTGTCTAGTGTTCCTAAGCACAAGAAGGCTAGAATGTGCCTTACGAAGAAAATATATATGTTAGATAATTCTTGATCATAAATGAGTTAGTGTGGTTGTCTGTTAGTTCATTGCTAATGAGTCTGTAATATGTATTAAATAAGATTAAAAAAAAAAAAAACACATGTAAAATAAGATTATATTTTGACCTATTAATGAAAATGTTGTGATCAGAAGCTCAGAGGAGCCCAACCTTGTATTTCCTCTAGAAGGACTTATTCATTATTTACTAATTTCGTGCTTGTGGTGACTTTATAGAATATAACTACTGTTATTAATGAGACTCAACTTTATATGTTGATGGAGCTCTTAAGTTATATGTCTGAACTCCATACTCAGATAGTCAACTACTGTTAACCTCCACCTAGATGTTTAATAGGCATTTAAAGCTTAACTTGTCCCCAGAAGAACTTTTGTTCCCTTCTTAAATCTTTCCCATCTTAGTAAATGGTACCATGATTCACCTATACCCAGTGCTGAGGTCAAAAGCCCAGGAGTCATTCTTCATTCTTATTACACCTGACACAACTAATCTATCAGCAAGTCCTGTCACTCCTGGGTTCCACATCCAGTACTGTATATCTTGAGTTCAAGCCTTGAATGCTCTCTTGTTTATAGCCCTAGTCAAAATTACCATCTCTTATATAGGCTACTGCAGTGGCTTCGTAACTGGTCCCCCTGCTACCATTCCACCCCCACCTGTGTCCATCTGCAGAAAAGCCAGAGTGAACGTTCTAAAATGTAGATCAGATCTGTCGTTCCACTGCAACCAGAATAAAACCCAGACTCCAAACCATCGTCATATATGATCTGGCACCTGATTATTCCAGGATGTCATCTCTTTCCACACTATATTTTCTGTGCTTCCTCCTCATCAGCTTTTGTCCCTTTCCTTAAGCCTTTTCAGGGCCATTGTGTTTGCCTTATCTTCTCATTAGATGCTCCTCTCATTTTCATGTGACTGCCTTCTTCTCATCACTCAAGTCTTTTTAGTGTGGCTGTCTTCAAGCAGCTCCCCTATTCAGTCTCCTTAATATTGCTATTTTTTGTGTGTGCTTATTGCTTATCTTCCCAGGGAGGATGAAATTTTCTTAAACTCAGACTTTACCTTTCTCATTGTGAACTATAAAGTAGGCTCTGGTATGCAGTAGGGTTTCAATAAATACTTATTGACTATTGGTTAAGTGAGGACTCTGATGAAATATCTTTCATGGTTGACTAGTAGAAAACAAATTAGGTTCTGAAAACTTTCCTGTGGTTTGGCACTGTTTTCTGTCTAGATCAGAAGTCTGGGGGGCACCTGGGTGGCTCAGTTGGTTAAGCGTCCAACTTCAGCTCAGGTCATGATCTTACGGTTCATGGGTTCGAGCCCTGCCTTGGGCTCTGTGCTGACAGCTCGCTCAGAGCCTGGAGCCTGTTTCAGATTCTGTATCTCCCCCCCTCTCTGACCCTCCCCTGCTTACGCTGTCTGCCTGTCTGTCTGTCTGTCTTTCTCTCTCTCTCAGAAATAAATAAAACATTTAAGGGGCGCCTGGGTGGCTCAGTCAGTTGAGTGTCAACTTCGGCTCAGGTCATGATCTCACAGCTCGTGGGTTAGAGCCCCGTGTCGGGCTCTGTGCTGACAGCTCAGAGCCTGCTTCCGATTCTGTGTCTCCTTCTCTCTCTGACCCTCCCCTGCTCACGCTGTCTCTCTCTCTCTCTCTCAGAAATAAATAAAACATTAAAAATAAAAAAAAAAAACATTTAAAAAAATTTTTAAAAAAAGAAGTCTGGGAGGCAAGTCATCCAAGAAAGAATTGGAGTTATTTGTTAAAAATGAACCTAGAACAAAAAAAACCTCAGTACTATCTCTCCATATATACCATTATGGTATAGTTCTGAAGTAATTGTCTGATAAATTCTAACAAGATAGAGGAAAACATAAAAATTTAATGATTAACTCCTTGATCTGTGCCTGGCACAGATACGTGTTGAGTTGTAAAGGGTGTACATTTTGTTTACTTGACAATAAACATGTCTTGTTCAGGAGTAGCTTGCTGATGCCTCATAGCCTATTTATATTTTTATTTTTTTTAATGGCAGATTGGTCTTTACTGTGGCTCAGTGTCCCTGCTAGGAAGAAAGAAGAAAGTGGGACATAAGGAAGCACAAATCTAGTTCAGAGTTCTTTTAGCATCATGGAATTAAAATGGCCACAGGATTGTTCGTCAGCTCTCACCTTTGTGGAGCTTTATCATTCATAAGGCAAATTACTTCACATATTGGGCTTAAAATTGGAAGGGTAGGTAAGGGTCATTTCTAACATTCAATTCATGATTCATAGGACAGCCACGTTTGTCAGCAAGCAGAATGGAGAAACTCCAGACTTATGAATCTTGGAATTAGAAGGAATTTTAGTAATATTCCTGTGAATCATAGTACAGTGAATAAACTTAGTCTGGATTCACATTGAATACAGAGGCAGATGTATGTTTGTGATGTCATGATGTTCTTTAATGATATCTTACATTTTATTCTTTTCAGACTGGCCCTCACTGCCATAAATAAATTTGAAGAAGCAGTTACAAGTTATCAAAAGGCATTAGATCTTGACCCTGAAAATGATTCTTACAAGTCAAATCTGAAAATAGCAGAACAGAAGTTAAGAGAGGTATCCAGTCCTGTAAGTTATTAATGCCAAATGAGGGAAGTATTTTCTCTCATTCACAATTTATTATAACCAAATTTTAGTGGTTAGAATAATTCTCAAATACAATTGTTTTACAGACAGGAACTGGATTGAGCTTTGACATGGCTAGCTTAATAAATAATCCAGCCTTCATTAGTATGGTGAGTATATTTCCTTTTCTGCTCTGCTGGCTGTTTACCATAGAGTTATATGGTTCCCAAACTTTAAGAAACAAACGTGGGAGCTTTTGTCATGGTGGTGGGGGTAGTGGCAGTAGACTGGTCGCATAACACTCTGGCTCAGGTTTTTAACCTGCTTATGGACCTCTTTATGAGAAAGCCATGGAGGGACTTTAGGAAACCCATGGACTCCCTGAAAATTTGTGTATATGTATATATATACATTTTTCTATGAGAGAACCATATTTTTCATCTGACTGGTGAAGGGGTCTGCAAATCTACAAAAAATGAAAAGCAACTCTTTTACATGAAAGTGTCCTTAGGAAGATCCCTAATTGAGGTCTGATCTGAGGTGTTTGGCTGTGGTGTTTCCCTAAGCTCTCCTCTCAGCAGGGTCTGCTTCCTTCTTTCGTAAGAGTTTATTTGAACTTTTAGTATAATTCTCATATGTGTGTACTTCATCCTTCAAAACAACAAAACCACTCATGGATCTTTTTAAAAACATACATGTGCTGGTCCAAAAGGTGGAAACTCTGATTTCATGGGTCAGGGATGTTACCTGAGTAATCTGGAATATTCCTGGCTGAGAATCATTCATTCCACCACATGCCATGCCCTTGGACGGTGGTGGTACTACTTGTATTCATCTTTGGTTCCTTCCGAAAATGTCATGCATCCACAAAAATCTTCATTTGAATTGAAATGCATGGATGGCTCATTCCCAGTGAGGTAAAGAAGTCTTTTGAACATTTAGTAGATTTGTAACAATTGGTAGTTGAAATCTTTGTAGACAATAGTTAATTTTTGAATCACTCACCCTAAATGAGGTGTTGGGAAAACCACCACTTGCTTTTATTACTAGAGAGAGAATTATTTGACGGACTCACAAATAATTCAGTAACTCTCTTCAAGTCTCAGGATTGAGCCCATCAAATTTAAGTTGGTCTTCCTGTTTACATGCCAGCAACGGTATGTCTCTTTGTAGGTTTTGTGACATTTTTGAGCATTGTTACCCATTTGCAGGCATCAGGTTATGCTCTTATAGCAGGATGTGAAAATGGACTTCTTTTAGTTTCGCATTTGGCTTAGCCTTCAGGGTGCTGTGCGCCAAAGTGAAGTGTTGCAAAAGGTGCGGGTTAAACACATTTTGTGTGACTTGTACAAAGTCAAATTGATAGAGAGTAAAGATTTTTGGAGAAAGCTATTGAAGTTACAGAGCCGTTTTTCACGTATGGCGGAAGTAAAGGGCTGACCTCCTCTCCAGCCCACAGAGAAAAGGCTTTTCTGGCCTTCTGAGAGAGCTTTCTAGATGGCCCCTGTTTGGAAGACAGTAGACTGGGGTCTGACCTGTCAGCTAAAGAACGCTGTGTGGTTTAGGAAGTAACTGTACTGAAGCCAGTGGACCCGAGATGTGTTTCCTGTGGACCAAGGTGAGCGCATGTGATCATAAGATAGTCCTGTGTTAATCTGCCCAGAAAGGCCTCCAACACAGAGCCTTGAGAGAAGAGCCTGGGACTAAAGGGAAAGTCATGGTGTCCACCCAGAAAGTAAATTACCTTTCCCAGAAGATGGATGAGGAATGCCCAGAGTGGTGGGGGTGGGGAAAGTTTCTGCAGGACCTCAGAAGTGCCCAGAGAGAGAACCAGAGTAGTTTTAAACAACTTGCACATCCACCGAGCACGAGTGCAGAACCACTGAGCTAGTACCAGTCATCAAAGAGCTTGCCTGCACCTGTGACTCCTTCTTTCCTAGAAGGCCAGGACTCTTGCCTAACAAGTAGGAAGAGGCATAGAGGCATTGTGGTGAAAAAAGAGCAGGCAACTGACCCACGTCTAGTAGGCCCATGCTTGGGAGGCGAAACTTTTTGCCTGTAAATGAAGTTTTATGTATTTGGTTATTACAGTGAGCAAGAAGTAAATTCCTCAACCGGAGTTCACTTTCTGCCTGAGAGCGATTAGAGGACTCTGTAGTTGAAAGTGGCCAGAAAAGCCTTAGGATCTGCTCTGTATTTCTTCTAAGTCCCAGAATCTAGAAGAGGGCGAACTGCTTTTGCAGAATCAGATTAAAGGGATTGTGAAAGGGTTAGCTGGCTGTCTCATTCAGTTAAGTGTCCGATTCTTGATTTCGGCTCAGGTCAGGATCTCATGGTTCATGAGTTTGAGCCCCACATCAAACTTGGGAATCTCACTTTCCCTTTCTCTGCGCCCTTCCCCTACTTGTGCTCTTTCTCTCTCTCTCTCAAACAAACAAAGATTGTGAAACAAAATGCTTTATATTTATAGCTCATAAATCCTGCTTTTCCCGTGTAATGTCCATAGCACTCATGTGCTGGCACCAGAAACACCAATCTTGAAACTTGAGGAGAATTATTGAATTATTTGCAAGCAAGTCAATCAATTCTCTTTATGGCAATGAGAGCAAGTGATGGCTTCTCCCAACACTTTGTTTAGGGTCAGTGAATGAAAAGACACTGTCTACAAAGATTTAGACTCCTTTTAAATTTTACATGAACATTGTTGATGGAACAGATTTGAGGCCAATTTTTTTTATGCTTTCAAAATAGAAAGTTTTACAAGTGAATGTATGAATACATGGAATTCGCCTCCCACTCTAAGCACAGGAAGGATTACTGAACCCCATGGAACAAGGTTGCATCTCTGAGAGTCCTCTTTTGAAGGAGACCCTCAAGGGTAGAAGATTCTTTAACCATACTTTTATGTATTTGAAAAACTTTTTTAATGATCTTATTTATTTCTGAGAGAGAGACAGACAGCATGAACAGGAGAGGGTCAGAGAGAGAGGGAGACACAGAATCTGAAGCAGGCTCCAGGCTCTGAGCCGTCAGCACAGAGCCCGACGCAGGGCTTGAACCCACGAACTGTGAGATCATGACCTGAGCTGAAGTTGGATGCTTGACCGACTGAGCCCCCCAGGCGCCCCTAACCATAAAGTGTTTATTTTTCCTGTTGGCTTTATTGATCTGATTGGTAGTAGTAAGTAAACTGCTTAGTTCATTATAGTGTTTGTAATCTCTTTATCTTTGCAATAAATTTTCAATCCTAGTACTTCCTCTTTTTTTTTTTTTTTACATTCCCACTCTTTTGAGTATGCTAAAACTCTAAAAAATGTTAGTATATACATGGTTTCACTTTCATTCTTTTTATTTTTCCTCCCCAAGTCTTTGTTAAAGACCCATATATATTAACTGCCTTTAATGGGAAATGCCTCTTTTCAATTCCAGGCAGCAAGTTTAATGCAGAATCCTCAAGTTCAGCAGCTGTAAGTATATTTTCCCTTTCCACTTCCCCTGCCAAGCTCTAATTTGAGCACATCAGCTCAAAAATAAGTGATAAAGTGATAGATGAATGCCAATTAGAACTTATAGCCATGCACATTTGACCTGATTTCCTACACAGGGTGGGTATATTTAGCTGATTTCTCCTTAGTCTCATGTTTGTTAAGAATATATGCCAATCCTAGTGATCGATCTCTTGCCTATTCTAGAATGTCGGGAATGATGACAAATGCCATCGGGGGACCTGCTGCTGGAGTTGGAGGCCTAACTGACCTGTCTAGCCTCATCCAAGCGTAAGTGTTATTTAAATACAAATAGTAAAAATGTTTATGTTTTACAGCTTGCCTCTAAAGTGAGAGGACCAGGGTCTTCTTTTTAAAATGTTCATTTACTGGGGCGCCTGGGTGGCTTAGTCGGTTAAGCGTCCGACTTTCACTTAGGTCATGATCTCGCGGTTCGTGGGTTCGAGCCCCGCGTCGGGCTCTGTGCTGACTGCCAGCTCGGAGCCTGGAGCCTGTTTCAGTCTGTGACTCCCTCTCTCTCTGACCCTCCCCTGCTCACGCTCAATCTCTCTCTCTCTCTCTCTCTCTCCTAGAAATAAATAAAAAAAAAAAAAATAAAAAAAATAAAATGTTCATTTACTGTTAGCATCAGTGTTTCCATGAGTTATTCAATCTAAAGAAGTTTATAAATTGTAATCCTCAGGCTGAAGTTCAGCCTGAAGCTCTGGATCCATGAAAAAGTTTTTCGGCAGATTTGAATAGCTACTCAAGCATGTAGATGAAAGTCAAATATCTGTTTAAAGAATGTATTAATTTATTAATTATGTATATTCAAAAATCATGTATTACATGTATTCATATCCTGACAATGTAGGAAACTATTTCATTTGAACTTTTTCAGTGCATGTCATCACTAAAGAAACTCTTTGTATCTTCTCGTTACTTGAGCACACTACCCGCACTTTCCACCCAAGTTGCTTAAGATACTTTTTTTTTAATGTTTATTTTGAGAGAGACGGAGCAAGCATGTGAGTGGGGGAGGAGTGGAGAGAGAGAGAATCTCAAGCAGGCTTGCTCTGTCAGCACAGAGCCCAGCATGGGGCTCGATCTCCCAAACCATGAGATCATGACCTGAGCTGAAATCAAGAGTTGGATGCTTCACTGACTCTGTCACCAGGTGCCCCCAAATACTCTGCCATTTTAGTTGATTTTTGAATCTGTGTCATATTGTCACTGGAAATTTTAAATGACACAAATACCATTTCCTTTTTTGATCACAAGCATGTTACCCCACTTACAATAATGCATTTTTACAGTGATCTTTAAGTGGCCTCATTATAGTGATACGTCATTGAGGGTGACACAGTCAGGAATTTGTATTGTTTCTTTGCCTTCGTAAAAATCAGTTCTCTTAGTTGATATATAGGTGACCAGAATGGGTGTGACACCCATCATACCTGATGACAAGAGAAATTCTTTGCCTCGTATTTGAGCACATACAATGAAAGCATGTACTTTTCATGCCTTAGCTTGTTTGTGGTGTGGATTTCATGCATTTCAGGAAGTCACTTTTTAGTGTGGGCGTTTTGTTCCTTAGAAAGAACACTGTGCCATAATAATGCTATATGGAGGCATTGGTAAACTTGAAGAGACTAAAGTCGTGATTCTAAAACTTGTTTTTATAGAAAAAGTTCCCTCTGAGTAATACCCACATCCTCTATAGTTCTTTTTGCATGCATATTATGTGACTGGAAATTCCCTAATTCATACCACTTTGCCTCTTTACTACAGGGGACAGCAGTTTGCTCAGCAGATACAGCAACAGAATCCTGAACTTATAGAGCAACTTAGAAATCACATCCGGAGCAGATCATTCAGCAGCAGTACTGAAGAACATTCCTGACTTGACCAGGGACCCTGGCCTGGAGCACAAATGATTATGGCTCTTAAATGTTTGCTGTAGATAGTGGCCAAAACAAAGACACCTAAAGAATCAGTCTAGATGATAGGTTTATCATAAACAGACTTGAACATAACATGACTCCTTTTAAACAAATGCTCAGTATCCCTGTTGAGTGCCAGTATAGTACTGAACAGGGTTCCATTTTCAAATCAAATCTTCATCATCATATTTGTATATTAGACCTAATAGGAGAGTCTATTTATTGAATAGTAGGGCTGTGTATTGGCAAGTTTTTTAGCTCCAAATTCCCGTAAGCAAACTTTTCTGAAAGATGGAGATGACCTAGGTTTCTCATGCTGATTTAGGAGAAATATACTGGCCACTGAACAGCATGTCTGCAGAGAAGAAATTTGTTGCCTAGTTTTAGCTCTGATAGTGCTATCAGTACTGAATATGTATCACAGGGGCCAGTTCTGTCCTTAATGCTGCTTGTTCTGATGGGGAACAAGGAATAAGAAGAGCTGGTGGGAAGCAGCATTTGGTGCAAGGGTTGTTTTGCAATGAGAAATAGATGCTGTGAAAGTACAGAAGGTAAAGGTAGGATGTTCAGGTTTTTTGCATAGTTCTTAATTAATCTTGCCTGCAGTTTGGTCTTGATAACATTAGCATGGCCAATTACTCTAAGTACATAATAAAATACATTTAGAAATCCTTAATGGTACTGGTTAGGTCCGTTGTATAACTATTCAATTTAACTTAGCACAATTTCCCCAATGGTGACCTTACCATGGAAACTCTTAAATATATTTACATTTAAATAAGCCAGCGGTTTGGTCCTCAAGTTAAGGATTTTCTAAGTGGCATTTAATTATGTGCCTATAAATAATGATTTCTTAAAAACTAATTATTTGATGGATTATAAAAAGCTTCTATCACTAATGCTGCTTGTTCATATAAACTTTTGCTATAATTTGGCTTGGCATGTTGCTATTATGCTTCATCTTAATTTGATATAATGTAAACATAACAGGGGACTTAAAATATTTTATTGAAATCAGATCATAGTAGTTAATGAAGAGATATGACATTAAGTATTAATGGCATGACTCTAACTACAGTGGAGAGACTATTTTCACTAGAATTTCTTTTGTTATTGATGGAAATTGGTTAAGTTGGATGAACAAGTGTTGTGAGAGAAAACTGAAAAATTAAGAAATGTAAGATTAAGCCCCTAATACTCATGATGATGAGGACCTTACTATAACTGATCTCCTCAAAAGACTAATAACGTGGTATCTACAAGGTTAAAAATCAACTCTTCCTTTCTTTCCCCTTGTGAGATCAGAACAGTGGTTCTATAATTTCACTGTAAGAATTAATTAAAAATGCAGTTCCCGAGCCACACTTTCAATTTGTATTTAATAGGTCCAATAGTAAGGCCTTGGAATCACCATTTTAAACAGCAAACTACCACGTGGTTCTGATGTAGGTCTAAGGACTCTAATTTAGAGTAACAGTAAGTTAGAGATTTCTCCTCAGACCAGCAAATACCTCACTGCCTGTGGTCAGCTTACAGGGAAAACCCATAGGAATCTATAGTCTGGCCAGAGAAGAGCAGGACTTAAATTTTAGGCCCTCTGAATTCAATATCCTGTTTTCCATTTAAACCAACTTTATTTTTCATGAGGTTAAATTCATCTCGGAGTGTTCAAGTGTAATACAGAATGAAGAACTAACTATTCACATGAAAGTTAGGACGGTGTTGAAAAGAAAAGTGAAAGTTGATCCACAATTAAAAATTTGCTACTCTTGGGGTACTTGGCTGGCTGAGTCCCTAGAGCATGCAACTCTTGATCTCAAGCGCCATGTTGGGTGTAGAGCTTACTTAATTAAAAAAAAAACAACAAAACTTAGCTACTCTTATCCAGTGATAAGAAAAAAGTTTCTAGCAAAACTATCTTAAGTATACTACAATGCTTTTAGATCAGTAAGACTGGTAAGCCTTTAGGTGATTGACTAGGAATATTAAGAAAACACAAATCAACAGTACCAGAAGTGAAAGAGGGGTGTCCCTGCAGCCATTCAGACTTGAAAAGGTAATCAGAGAATACAGTGACCAACGTCTCATATATTGGACAAGGTACATGAAACACACAAATTCCCTCTAAGTTAAAAGCTACCCAAGTACAGTGAAGAAATGGATATCTCCCAGCAGAGCAAGCTATAGGCCCAGATGATTCTAAGGGTAAATTCTGCCAAACACTTAATGGAAGCAATACTATCAATTCTACATGATCTCTTTCAGGAAATAGAAAAAGAGAAAACCACTTCCAACTTATTTTATTTAGCTATTACTATTACTTTGATACCAAAATCAGACAAAGGTATAAGGAAAACCATTTTATTTTTTTTTTACAAATAGTTTATTGTCAGTTAGTTTCCACATAACACCCAGTGCTCATCCCCACAAGTGCCCTCCTCCATGCCCATCCCCCCTCCCCCCCACATCCATCAGTCCTCAGTTTTTGTCAGCATTCAAGAGTCTCTCATGGTTTGCCTCTCTCCCTTTCCCCCACCATTTCCGCCCTTCTTCTCCCCCTTGTTCCTCAGTTAAGTTCCTCCTAATCCTCCTATACGTGCAAACATATGATATTTGTCCTTCTCTGCCTGACTTACTTCGCTCAGCATAACACCCTCAAGGTCCATCCATGTTGCTACACATGGCCAGATTTCATTGTTTCTCATTGCCGTGTAGTATTCCATCGTATAGATAAACCACATATTCTTGATCCATTCGTCCGTGGATGGACACTTAGGCTCTTTCCATGTTTTAGCTATTGTGGAGAGTGCTGCTATGAACATTGGGGTACATGTGCTCCTATGCATCAGCAATACTGTATCCCTTGGGTAAATTCCTAGCAGTGCTATTGCTGGGTCCTAGGGGAGTTCTATTGTTAGTTTCCTGAGGAACCTCCACACTGTTAAGGAAAACCATTTTAAAACAATGTCTTGATTTGCTAATATCTATAGTCATTCTTTTACATGAAGAGCTGGTATATTTCTTCCATTTCAACTTTCTGGTCTGTTTTTTTGTTGTTAGATTTTTTAATTTAAAAAATATTTATTTTTTTATTATAGTTTATTGTCAAGTTGGTTTCCATATAACACCCAGTGCTAATCCCAACAGTGCCCTCCTCCATGCCCATCACCCCTTTTCCCCTCTCCCCCACCCCCATCAACCCTCAGTTTGTTCTCAGTATTTAACAATTTCTTATGGTTTGCCCCCCTCCCTCTCCTTAACTATTTTTTCCCCTTCCCCTCCCCCATGGTCCTCTGTTAAGTTTCTCCTGTTCTGCATATGAGTGAAAGCATATGGTTATCTGTCTTTCTCTGCCTATTTATTTCACTTAGGATAATACCTTCGAGTTCCATCCACATTGCTACAAATGGCCAGATTTCATTCTTTCTCATTGTCTGGTATGTTTCTTGGCTGATACACCACGTATGACAAATTCAGTCTAGGTATCAGTCCACTTACTTGGATTTCCATTTTATTTAAGTCATTTTTGCTCTTCAGATACCTTCATTACTTTGGAATCACTACATTGCAAATTATTTCAAGAAAGTTTGGTGCAGTTGTATTGTTCTAGCTCCTCTTAAAGTTATAAGGAATGCCCCAAGTACTATACTGGCTGGTATGGAACAACAGGACATTGAATCTATATTCATTCCACTTAGGAATGACTGGCTTCCATTAACCACATTTCATTATTGTAGTTATAGCTGTTATGATGCTATGTAAAACCTAAAAGTTCCTTTTTATGCAAATGATATTTTCATTTAATGTATCAAACTGTTTATCTAATTTATAATATGGTTTAAACAGATCCTTTCTAAGATAACATTATCTTAACCTTTACTTAAGGGATGGACAATGTGTATCATAAAAAGAGAGTTTATAATTAGATCAAATTATATAGCAGATTCCAAGAGACCATTATGTGCTATTTTTAAATCTGGAACAATGAAACAGAAGGTTCAATCATGAGAAGACACTTGAAAAGCAATCAAAATACACAGTGCAGTGGCTATAAAGTCTTATTTAATCTTACTCATTCTGGAAGACAGACTTCAACTTTACATTGCTTGCACTTTATTTTGCACAGATTTCATTATTAGTGCAATTTAAGGGGCAAATCTCATTCTGAATATAGTTTTCACTTTGGACCAAATAATTTGTCATGGCAATAAATAATTATGCATTTAAAAAAACAAATTTTTGTATTTGGCTTAATGCACTCTTAACAGTTATGCAATTCTGTATACGTTCTTGAATTTCAACTTACCAAAATAAGTATTTAACAGCATAAGCTTTTGTTTTCCTTACAAAATATTCAAACTTACTATATTCATGTTGCAAAGTTGTTTACAATCTTTTTTTTAAATGTTTTTATTTATTTTTGAGAGAAAGAGAGAGCACAAGTTGGAGAGGAGCAGAGAGGGAAACACAGAATCAGAAGTAGGCTCCAGGCTCTGAGCTGTCAGCACAGATGTCAGCACATGGGGCTCAAACTCACACGCCATGAGATCATGACCTGAGCTGAAGTTGGATGCCTAACCAACTGAGCCACCCAGGAGCTTCTCAAAATTGTTGACAGTATTAACTTTCTCACTGTTTTGTTCCTGACATAAGTAAATGAGTGTGATTACATATAGAGATAGACAATTTTGTAGCAGTAATGCATGATTTAGGGTTCAAAATCAAGTATCAGAAGGTAGAAATCCTTTAAATATATCTTATGAAAATAAGTCGCTTGTTTTTCAATATGAAAAAAAAAACCAGGAATTTTTGGCTTTGAATTAGAAAATAACCAGGTTTCTTAGTTACAAGTTAACAGAGTAGTCAACAATCCAAGAAACGAAACCAATTCTGATCTGCTGTTAGTAACTGAAATTTGTATGTGTTTATATATACATACAAACACAGATTCATACAAATATAGTAACTTTGAAAACAATATAAGGTTATACATGAGGACTACTCTAGTTGTTTTATTTATTATTATTATTTTTATTCTAGTTGTTTTCAACTTTTTCTGCTGACTGAGGAGTTAGTGAAAAAATGGACTAATTGAAAAGTTTTTAATAAAGTATTTTAAGAATCTAAAGTTTTAAGAAACAATTCTATCTTCTAGATCAAGGTCAGCAAACTACAGCCTGATGGCCAAATCTGGCCAGCTGCCTGTTTTTGTAAATACTGCTCTGCTCTTTTTACCTACTGGCTGTTCTCCCAGAGCTGAATATTTTGAATAGAAACCACATTCCCTGAAAAGACAAATATTTAGTATCTGGCCCTTTACACAAAATGTTTGCTGACCCCCTTTCCTGATACTTGCTACAGGCAAATGGCCTCAAATACAGAGCTTTTGGAGAACAAAGTCCAACAGTTATCTAGAAAAGAAATGAAATAGGATGTGTAAAGAAAATGTACAAATGTTCTTTTAGAATACAGCTCATAAGATAAAATCAGTAGATGGTTCTTTTCAAAACAAGTATTTAATATTTTAACTTTTGCAGGAAAGAAATTTAAATAATAGATATTTTTGTTGTAGACTTGATCATTTCACAAAGGTGACAGAAATCCAGAAAGTTCTGTTAAAATCAATGAAAAGCAGAACACTGGAAATTTTCTTCAGCTCTCCACTTTGATGGCCGAAGATACCACACAGACCTGTGCGATGTCATCATATTCGTATGTTCTCTTTAAGAACGTGTCAGTTAGTCTTAAGCCGGAGACACTCTATTGAGAGAAAGATACTTGTGTAAATTTTCATTCATTGGTGTTACCAGAGGGCAAAAAATGGAAAGAGTAAATGACCACTGGTTAATAGTCCCCATATACTGAAATTACTGAAAAGAGAGCAAACCTGCAGTCCCTGTACTGAAGACAGGAGAGTAAGGGCAAGGCAGAGCGAGGAACTTGGATGTAGCTTTCCAAGCTGTCTTCCTGAAATGCCACACCAGTGGATAGAATTGGTATTGCACATTTCCAAAACCAGATCCATAGTCCGTTCACTGCTGGAGGAATCAGAAGGACAGGAATAAATCTTGTTCCTTTCACAAAGCAGTTCTGTGATATTTCTTCTACTAGTGCCAATGAATTTTTTGGGGGTGTCCAGGAGAATAAAAACCGGATTCAAAAATAAAAACTAGGATATCATTTTTATTTCACTTAGACAATCAGGAAAATGAAAGAGATGGCATCTTCTAGGGTTTACAGTGGCACTGAGATTGATCTACCTGTCTGAATATAAGCCTCTGGTTCTATTACTGACCCTTGGCTCCCTGATGCTGATCTGTTAGCAGCTTTGCCATTTCTCTGGGATACATCCAGACATCTGTGTCTAATCTTGTTGCTATGTTTCCTTCCTATTTCTGTTAAGTATTCTACAGGAAAGAAAAAGATAAACTGAGTCTTTTGCTCTTTAACCTATGTGTTCCTTTACCCTGCAGATAACAAAATGACAGACAAGATTTCTAAGTAAATACTATTCCGGTTTGTTCAGTGTTTACATGAAAAAGACCGCTTCTGTTTATTTTTTATTTATTTTTTTACAAATAGTTTATTGTCAAGTTGATTTCCACATAACACCCAGTGCTCATCCCCACAAGTGCCCCAGACTGCTTCTGTTTATAACTGATAGCACCAGTTTAGCTTAAACATGTGAAGTTAAAAATAACTTTCAATGAAGATACACAATATATTTTTTTAATAACTAAAGGCTCATAGTATAAAATAGTCCTCTGGCTCTACCAGCACTTGTGACTACACTCAACTGTTTTAGCTCTTTTTATCCTCACAGTTGGTTCCATATTTTAAATATTTATTTAAATTTCAATTTATAGATTCTTACACATACTCATTTAATAACATTTAGCTTTATATGTCTGTGTCTCTGCAACAAACATTTGAAGTATCCATTATGTGCCAAAGACCAGATTAGATGCACTACATGAATTTTCTCATTACATTTCACAAAAATCCATTTAGTGTATGTCATGTGTATGTGTCTATGTGTGGGTGGGTGGTAGTAGTGGGGGTCCTATTTTTCTAGATAGGGAAACTGGAGATCTAAGAAACAGGTGGTTTTTGGAAAACTTCAATCACCTAAAGCTGAAGTGAATTTCTTCATTTTTTACAGTGGTTTGTCATTTGGTCACTGATTTGCTATACCTCAAAAATTTTACACAAAAAATCCAAAAGCACACTTATACACAAAGGGTCTTCACCTGTGTGAGTCGCTGTTTACTAAACTCCCAATGACATGGCAGGCAATGCATTTACAATGCTAGGGAAGACATGGTCCCTTCTGTTGAATAATGCATAATTTAATAAGAAGAGACTGATAATTAAAGCAATATATGAACATCACTAAAAAACTATATTAATATTTGCTATGACAGAAAGGAATGATTAACTATGTGGGAGGGTCACTAGCTTCAGAGGGAGGGAGGTATTTTTGTAATTCTTAAGGATGAGTATTTCGTATATCAAACTTGGAACGGATACGGTATTTTAAAAGATTAAACATTCAGACCAAGTGGATTGGGATTCATCATCGCAACAGTATCAAAGTGCTGCAACTAATAATACACTCCAAGTAGTAATACAAATTGTACCAGAAGTGATAGGACTGGACTTTAATCCTGAGTTTCTCTGGCTTCAAAAAAGCCCTGTCCTCTTTGCATTCCCAATAGCTAGATTATACTCTCTATTATAAGGCTCTATTTTCCAATCTATGATTGAGTGACCCTGTGTATTGAATTCATAACAAATTTTTACTTTTTTAATAATAAAGATACAGTTCAGGTATAAATATGGCTCAGAAAAATCTATCTTATAATGTTCAACCTATAATGTATTATTCCGTAAGAATGAACTAGTTTATGTTTTAATCATTCGAAGTGTGAGGAAGTGCAAACAATGAAAACAGCATGGGCTTTCAAGTCAGATACAACTGGTTTCAAATTCTGGTCCCAACTTTTCTAGCTCTCTCAGCTTGACTAAGTCACTTAACCTCTGAATTGGCTTTGTATTGCATAAATGTGAATAACTTATACCTACCTCGTAGGGTACGATGCATGAATGAAATAAAACACAGAAAATAACTAATGAAGACCTCAAAAATATGTAATACATACAGTTACCAGATGAAGAACTTTACAGTATTCAACATCAACCTCAGAGAAGGCTGTATGTCAAGGAGAAACTTAAGAGAGCACAGTCAAAAGATTTTAATTCTCTTTGACGCAGGCGAGGGGGAAAGGACACCCATCCACAAACACTGCCATTACCTGCAGTTTGTTATTTTACAGGTAATATGAAAAGGTTCTTCTAGGTTTACGGTATCTGGGATTGCCTCCAAAGACAACCTAACATCTCCATAACCTGGAGCCTAAGAGAAAAAGCAACACGGTTAACACACATCTATTACAAAACCTTTCCACTTTAGGTACCACATCAGCACATTCACTCAACATTTGTTGGATCTCCAGGCTGATGTTCAGGGAAAATAATTCCCAGTCATTCTAACTTTTTATTTTTTTTCTTTTCTTCTTTTCATTCTTACTTCTTTTGCTGCCATAGCCTTTAGAAGAACACAATGGGCCCTGACTGTGTTTGCTGTAATTCCTCCACATTCAGTACAGTTCAAATTAATCTCAGAGGTAAATAGTAAGAAATTTCAATAGGTTTGATCTTAAAGGGATGCTTTCCAAAGATCCTGCAGCTTATATATATATAACTCTAAAAAGGTGAGGTTATTCCCTAAGCAGCACAAGTAAAATTGTTTTGAACAGATCCAGGAAAAAAAAAATACATGTTTGTTCACAAGACACTCAAGCAGGGAAAAGACCACAGAAGCATCAAAGCCTGGAACATCCATGGCAAGATGACAGCTAATACTATATTTAATTTAATTTATTTTTAAAAATTTCTTAATGTTTATTTATCTTTTTTTTTTTTTTTTTCTGAGAGAGAGAAAGAGAGCGAGCGAGCACAGGATGGGAGAGAAGACACAGAATCTGAAGCAGGCTCCAGGCTCTGAGCTGTCAGCACAGAGCCCAACATGGGGCTTGAACTCATGGACCATGAGATTGTGACCTGAGCTGAAGTCAGACACTTAAATGACTAAGCCACCCAGGCACCCCCAACTGCTATATTTTAAATTAGGCCCAGTGAAAATATTCTTCCAATTATTGCCTGACATAGTAAAAGAAAAGTAATTCTTAAAGAATATATCATAGCAGTTAATATTCAGCATCTAGGGAAGATTTTTGTAGCATATTCTCACAGTACAAGAGAAAGAGGACTGGTAGCCATCCCTACTTTAAGACCAAAAATTAGGGAAAGTATCCAAGTAATGCTTACAAGATAACTTTAATGGGACTCACTCTGAATTTTAGATGACTCAGATTCTAAAATCTTTAAAAGAGTTCTGAAATCTTTAAAAAAATCTGAACTGAGTTGGTGAATATACTAAGTCTAAGAGCTGCATGACACTGCAAAAAAACCTTTAATGTAGTGGAGGTCAGATGAACAGTGAGCATGAAATACTATAGGAGGGAAAAATTGGTAAGTAGTAATTTAATTTCTGTTTGGTTAGAGTAACAAACCACGTATATGGATAAATTAATATTTGAACATTCTTCATGCATCTCAATATGAATCTTCTACCTAGAAAGCAGTAACATTACTAGTGTTTTACCTCTTATTCATTGGTAACAGTAACGCATTTTATAGGTGCTGATTTTTATTCACAGACCTAGGAAAATTTAAGTTGATCTATCCGCACCGCCCTCCTCCCCAAAACCCCCTCCAATGTTTTTTCCAGATTTACCATTCGTTGAAGTTGGCTGGTCTGTAATCTTCCCCTTTCACCTAGATTTGTTTTCCACACTATATCCAATTTTCCAATTACTGTTACTCCTTTAATGATGCCTGCTTTTTCTGCAAACTCCTTCTTGGGTTTTAGGCAGTACAAATACTGGCGTGTATCCATTGGCTGCAGATATGCTCTTGACCCAAATGTAGTTACACTGAAACAGGTGGAGAGAGAGATGGAGAAAATTCTCTGAAGTCTTAAAAGAAAAACCATGGCTGTGATTTTTCTTTTGGACAGGAACTGCATGATTTACCATTTCTTTAAAAAAAAATTTTTTTTAATGTCTTATTTATTTTTGAGAGAGAGAGAGAGACAGTGTGAGCAGGGGAGGGTCAGAGAAAGAGGGAGACACAGAATCCGAAGACAGGCTCCAGTCTCTGAGCTGTCAGCACAGAGCCCGATGCGGGGCTTGAACCCATGAAGGGATCATGACCTGAGCCGAAGTCGGATGCTCAACCAACAGAGCCACCCAGGCGCCCCTGATTTACCATTTCAACACAAATGAAAAAGGACTTGAATTGAGAAGATTTATTTTTCTTTAAATATTTCGGTTGATATGGAAAAATTTTAGGTTCTTTATAACAGAATGCTATATATTACCTAAAATACTGGATATGTATCAACTGAAAAAATATGATAGAACTCAGAACCTAAAGTATCCTGTCCCTTTTCTCTATAATTATCAAGGAAAATAGTTTAGAATAAGAAGAAACGTATCACTGTAAACTAAGTGATCATTTTTAAATGAACTAAAAGATGAGGGAAAGAATGAAAAGTTACTGTTTTCCTCAGTGGGGATATGGGAGGCTACAAACTTTACTGAATTTAACCACTATAATAAGATAGAAGCAAATGTTTCAATGATGAACAAAATCAATTACTTTCTCCAGTAGTTACTTTCCTATCCATATTTTTAATGTCAACTCTATATTTATTCTTCCTCTTTTAAATTACCTATAGAAAGACATATATTTCATTTTTGCAAAAAAAAAAACAAATAAACCCAAGATTGTCTTTTCCTATGACCACTCCTTTTAATGTTGAGAGAATATTCTTAAAACTCACCCTTCATTTTTATCCTTTCTAACTTCTCCATCATTTCTTCCCATGCCTCAGTTTTATCATTTGCAGGAAAGGATGAAGAGTTTCATATCTACCTCACTGAATTATTATAAAAATTAAAAGACTAAATGTTTCAAACAGTGAAACATAAAATGCAAATGGCTAGGATCTTGTATTTTTATGAAAGGAGGAATGAATGGGTGAAGCACAGGAGATTTTTAGGGCAATGCGAGTATTTTATCTAATACAGTAGTGGGGGCTAATGTCATTACTTTTGTCCAAACCCACAAAATCTATGACACACAAAAATGAACCCCGAATGTGAATTATGGACTGTAATTAACAAAAGTGTCAATAGTGGCTCATCGACTGTAACAAATGTGCCACAGTAAAACAAGATATAAAAAATGGGAACTATGAGTAGGGACAGGGGCATGTGGGGGACTTTGCTTTCTGATCAATTTTTCTGTGAACATAAAATTCCCTAAGAAAAATAAAGTCTAAAAAAGAAAATTACAAACGACCCAAGAGTACCAAATGTTAGCAAAGTCCAGACACCTCAGGATAAAAACAAACACTTCATAATTCATATTTACCATTCTCCAGCTTGGCTGACTGAATTTAATTCTGCTACATTGTACATTATGGATGGCTCCAGTGAAACTTTCTCCATAAACATGGGTGAGGTTGTAATATTCTGAATCTGGGCTTCGAGAAATACTTCATCAGTCTGAGGACACGAAAAAAATATCCACCAAAGTGTAATGGTATTTAAAACATTTACCTCAACAAAAATATCTGATCTATACGAAGAAAAAACATTAACCACAACTGTGATTAGTTCATGCCTGCAAATTAAAGTTATCATAATTAATGCAAGAAAAGAAATCTTCACCCTAACATAATTAACAGGGGCAAAGTCAAGTGTTAGTTAACTGATAACTTGTCAAACAATGGATGGGGGATAACTATATTTTTTGTATCAACATCCAAAAATAGTTATTTAACTGGAATTTCAATGACAAATACCCTAAATCTTTTAGTAAGTCATTAAAATGTTAAAATGCGATTTAGTAGTATATATATACCTATGCACCTATCATCTTAGTGATATGTTAGAAGAATTAGGTCTTCATTATAATATTCCATATTATTAATATAGTTTCAGTGGTCATATTATTTGAATTTAGAAAGTATAGGTAACACCAGTACAATAAATAATCTATTTTATAATTTTATAGAAATTTTAGCTTTGTGAATAAAGCAGTTTGTTAGTGGTCATTAGTGAGTTCTTGGGTCATTTTAAGTGTATTTTTAGGGCTGAAAAAAAGTATGTGAATTATACCTGATAATTGTAGGGCTTTTAAATCAAACATAAGGTATTTTGTAGTCTTAATGATAGATTTGAAAACTAATTCTATTCAGGAATATTTTTATGAATTTAAATAAGTATCTTTATATAAAATTTTTATTCCTAAAATTTAGGGATTGAAATTTAGATGATTTATGCTGAACTCCTTCTTTTTATGTGATTTAATTTTTTTGGGTGTATAACTGAAGGATAACAGATAACTTGGTTCATTTTTGAAACAAACCTGTCTAAAAAATGACATACTAAGGATATTCAATAATTATTTTGTTCAAAAGTTTCAGAATAATATATATATAGAAATTTAAAAAATAAACTATGACCCAAAAATTTGGCACTTAGTGTAACTTTTTATGTATTAAATCCAGGTAAATGGAAATCATTTGTAAAAAATATACTGATGAAGTTATAATGTGAAGTATTATTATCTAAACTAAAACAGATTCTTTAGTTCTTGGCACATGTGCTCAAGTGAAAACAGAAATACAATGATTTATCACTATAAAAGGATATACTATTCAGAGTGAGTATTCTGTTACTTTTTCTCAAAATATGGTAAATATATCCCATCAATCCATTGCTTTAAAAAAATAACCATAGACCCACCATTTCAAATTTAAAAATGCTATTTTCTGCTTAAATTTAGGAAGAACTTAGATAAAATGAAAGAAAAACAAGCAGCATAATGGAAAATTAAGTTAGTTTGAACAGTTAGTATAAAGTCATTTGACATTTGAAAAATTAAGAATTCTGTGCTATAGCAGTTGATGTTATTATGTAAGTCGCATATTATAAGCAAATGCTGCTTATATTAAACAGAAATTTGAAATTATTACTTTAGCCAACTTGGGAAAATTTGATGGTCTTCTGTTTGCTAATGTCAAAGGGTCAACTTTACCTGACCCAGACGTAAAACTAAAACCACTGTGCATCTGAAGATAAATTTCAACTAGGGATTACTCAAAAAATTAAAGTATAGTAAAGAATGTTACAGGAAATGGTTGAAAATCCCAAGGCTATTTTAAACAAATTAACATGCCTCTTTTAAAAAACACCCAAAGGAAAAACACTAAAAATGAGAGCATAACTGTTTCAATATGACAATTTAATCTTCCATCTAATTTTTTTCCCACAGAGTAGACAACCAATATAATATAAAAAGTACAAATTATATACATCTTTTAAAGTCACATAAGTGGTATTCACAACTAACTTTGTTTTTCCACTATGTTTTGTAAAGAGAGATTAATTAGGCAGAGTCAAAAAGTGGTAAGTAAGAAAAGCATATAAATTTATAATAAAAAATCAAATTACCACAGAACTGAGGTCACTCTAATGGAAAAATAAAAAAGAAAAATTAGAAAAATCAGAATTAAATGTTAAAGAAAAAGAATAACTAACTTTAAAATAAAATGCATTTCTGCATTTTTTTTAATTCACTAAACAAGACAGCATTAGTAAAACAAGGAAGTAAACAGAAAGTAATGCAGGAATATGACAAATCATTTTTCTAAAAAGGGGAAACTGCTATGGTTAAATGAATAGAGAAGAACACTACAGGTGAATATTTAAATAGGAGCAAATATTCAAGGACACATTTAGGCAAGACAGGTAGATCTCATGCCTTTGTAATTCTATAAATTCTTTACCTACACTGTAATTTTTCACTGATAACTTACGATGGTTATACGTTATCATCCACATCAGAGGACATATACATTGTACAGCTTCTCCTAAATTTGTCTAATAATGGAAGCATTTTTTCAAGGACCATCTTCAGTGATTAGAGTTCCATGCATTACACTTCAAAATATGCTGGGCTAGATCACTTCTGAAAACTGAGAGCTTATTGTCTTCTTGTTAACATATTCCATAGTTGATCTTTTTTTTCATATATATTCCTAAGGCTACTTATTTATCAAGGGCCATCTCAAATGTTGCCTTTTTTCATCCAACCCATAGCTAAAAATACTTTTTCACTTCTTGATGCTCCCAGAGTCCAAGTACACTTTATGATCTAGGGGATAGTGCTTACACTGTGGTTTTGTCATGATTGTTTCCTCTACCAAATCTAAGTACCATGAAGATTAGGAAGATGTCCAGTTTATATTTATTTCTCTTTAGGACCTGGGATAGAGCTCTATAACGAGCAGGTAACCAAATGTTTGAATCTTGGTTTCTAACGTCACCAATCTTCTTTCCCATTTTAGAAGACTACAACAAAGTTTCTCATAAAATTTGTTTTCCTTTGGGTGATTCACATATTACTAGAATTATTAAAAACAGTGTAAAAAATCATGTTCGAAACAAATGTGACTTTTACACATAAAAGTCAATGTGTTAGAACTATGGCACATGAAATATTGAGTACTTGATGAAGAAGATACGTATTTCCATATTTGATGGAAGGGTAAAATCTCATCAAGGGATCACTAGATACATAAAGAGTTAACATTTTTATTTTACTGTGGGTAGGAGAGTTGGAATACTATGTACATGTATTTACTGGAATACTAGTGATTAATTATAACATAGCTATAATACTGAATATCTTAGAGACCCTAAAAATTCTATTTGTTTACTCCTTTTTAAAAAAATGTTGATTTATTATTGGGGATGGGCAGAAAGAGAGGGAGACAGAGATTCTGAAGCAGGCTCTGCACTGTCAGCACAGAGCCCGATGTGGGGCTTGAATTCACAAACTGTGAGATCACTACCTGAGCTGAAATCAAGAGCTGGACGCTTAACTGAGCCACCCAGGTGCACCATCACTCCTAATTTTTAAAGATATCTTTATTTTCAAAGGTTCAGAATTTTACTAACATTTTTTTTAGCTGATGTTTGTTGGCAAAGATTACAGATTACATAAATGTTAATTGAAAAAGGCAGCAAATGCAGTTGTTACCATGATTATGAAAAGAGAATATTAAACACAAATGAGTAAAAACTGAAAGAAGACATGGATTAATGAAAAACCCATTACTTTTTGGTGTGGTTGAATTGTGGATTTTTCCCACTTCCTTTTTGGGGAGTATATCACTTTTATAATATTACTCATGGAATACCTAGTAATTTAAAAAAACTATGCAAATTACTCTGAATATCAGTGTTATAAAACTATTTGACAAGTTTCTTAATGTACCACATTTTCAGCAAAGAAAACCCAAAAGAGTTTAATATGTGTCTTCCTACAACCCAATTATAAGAAATACAGCCCTATTTGTTTCTAATTTCCAAACATATGTGTTCTAACAGAATAGTTACCTATCTTCCCTCATACTATGGATGAAATCTTTCCCAGGAAAATGATAAATTAAGACCACTTAAAATTCACCAAGGTAAACAGCTATATATTAATCAACAGTACTCCAGTAAAATCAGAAAGGCAGAACACATAGTATAGTATTCCAGCTCCCCCTCCCATGAAAAAGAAATGTTATTAACTCTTTAAATATCTAGTAATCTCCTTGATGAGACTGTATCCTTCCATCAAATATGTATATTCTTCACTAAGTACTCAATAATCCATGTGCATTTGTAACTCTGCTAGGCACTTCACTACTTTGACACTTTCATGCTTCCAGCATGTTACAATCCAGAACGTCCTCTAGTTCCCTTCCTCATCTTCCCTGAACACTACTCTAAAATCTCAACCCGGACTTCCTATACCACATCGTTTTATATCAATCACTTTAGACTCACTGTACATACTATATTAGGTAGTTTTAAAATTTTATGCACTTTTTTCTTTTCTCCTAATAGGGTTTAATTGCAGGACAGTTTCCTTATCTTAGGCATCTTTTAGTATGTCCGGTTGTAGAAAAAACTTTATATTGAATAAAAACTCAGATGTTGATGGTAAAAATAACATAGGAAATTTGATATATGAGTGTAAATTTCTGATCATTTGGTTTAGAGTAATAACATAATTTTCAAATATTGTATTTAAATATTTTTGAATTTATCACTGTGGTATGAAAGGCATGATTTTGTGGGAGTAAGGGACTCATTAGGAAATCTGCTTTTTCTGGAACTTTAGAAGCCAAGATAAAGTAGAAATTTAAATTTAAAAGGAAATCTAAGCAATAAAACATTTCTCCTAGGCAAAGTCAATCTTATCTCTTCTGTTAGCAAAGAAGATATCCTCTATTCTAAAAGTTACATATATATATATTTCTATATTTTTGCCAAACCTGTTTCTCCCAAAACGTATTTCAAGCCATTCACTGAATTTAATAATCAAACTATAGCTAACACACGGATTTACTTTGTTGAGCTCTATTTGTCAATATTTTCCATGAACACTAAATCTGTTTTGCAGGGTTAGATCAACTACTTCAATTTTATGATATCAGAATCACATATTTAACAATATTTAAGAAATTGCTAATGTTTTTAGACAGTAAAAATAACCATTACATGAAGTACAGGGCAATCATTTAGTGAAAGGGGGTGAAAGCCTTACAAAATTTGCAAGAGGAAAATTCAAGATATATTGATTCTTTGTAAGTTAAAAACAGCAGATTAAAGATCTACAAGGAAATTATTCTCTTCTGATTGAAATTTATGCTCATTTTTTTTTTTTTTTACAAGTAATGCAGTTATATCAGCAATTCAATATGAAAAGAAATGTATCAGAATTTTAGTCAGGTAAAGATCTTACTGTTTAATCTGAATTCCCATTAAGTGTCCAACACTTACCTCTGCATTATAAAATTTGGTTTTCACATCCAATGGTTTAAGAACCTAGTTAAATAAAGCATATCAATTAGAGGAGATTATTATTATTTGACCATTTATTTTTGTTTATTTGTTTTAAACCACAGGGCATAAATTTGTCAAAGGTATTTTCCAATTTTAACTGTAAAACACTTAAAAAAATTTTTTTTTAATGTTTTATTTCTGAGAGAGAGGCAGGCAGTGTGAGCACGGGAGGGCCAGAAAGAGAGGGAGACACAGAATCAGAAGCAGGCTCCAGGGTCTGAGCTAGCTGTCAGCACAGAGCCCAATGCGGGGCTCGAACCCATGAACCGTGAGATCATGATCTGAGCCCAAGTCGGACACTCAACTGACTGAGCCACCCAGGCACCCCTGTAAAACACGTTTTTAATAGGTATGCAGTATTTTTGTAAAAACAAACAAAAACAAAAAAACAATCCTAAGCACACTTTTAAAAGACAATCATCATTTCTTGAGTGGGTGATAGTTACACTAATTCATTTCATAATATTTTGCTAAACCGAATACATATACTTCATGTATTTTTCTCTATTTCATAAAAATGTTTGTCAAAATAAGCAAACCTCTTATTTTCTTTTAAAAGGCATGCAAAATCTTTCAGCAAAAAAAATTTTTTTTTTTAATTTTAAAGTAATCTCTATACCCAATGTGGAGCTTGAACTCACAACCCTGAGGTCAGGAATCATATGCTCCATCTAATGAGCCAGCCATGTGCCCGCAAATAAATCTAAGTATGTATGTATGTATGTTTGTCTGTATTTATTTATTTCCTACTGATAGTACTTTTTCTTCCACTTAAAAACAGAGAGGTATGAAAAATATATACATAGTATCCTATCTAGATCTAATTTAGATAACTGTATATGGTGATCCCATCCCTTGTCACACACACGTGCCTGTGTTAAACCAGTGGTTTTTAACTATTTTTGATCATGGAATGAAAATTGTATATAAATACAAAATTATACCTACAATTTCAGTGACTCACGGAATCCCAGAAGGAAGCTTAGTCCACTCAGCCTAAGTCAATAGTCTCTTGTTTAAATATTTCTTTAGAAATGTGATACCATTTATACTTATTTTATTTGGACTTTATACTCATCTTATCCCTCTTGTACATTCCTGTGTGTTTTATCAAGGCATAAAAATAGAACAATATTTTATGGATACAAATCCTCAAGTGAGGGGTGCCTGGCTGGCTCAGTCAAAAGAGTGTGCAACTCTTGATCTTAGTGTCATGATAAGCCCCACATTGGATGTAGAGATTACTAGGGAAAAAAAAACACTTAAAAAAAATCTTCAAGTGAAATATTACATTGACAATGATAATTGCTCTGCTTTTACTTAATTTACTCTCACTTTAGATTGCTAGTAATATAACAAATTCAAATACATGAAGCTATATGCACTATGTGGAGCCTGTTTTCACTGCAGATAAATAGGAATAACTTCATAGGGAAAAAAAGGCAGCTAAAAACTATTCACCATTGTCATAATCAGTACCTGAAATTTGAAGAATTTTCTAAAATACATTTTTTCTCCACCCTGAGTTGTATAGCTCACTGCACACACCAGGCTGAAATAGAAACATATCTCTGAATCATATTCAGTTTTGTTTTTAAATAATAAATCTAATACACCTCAATTCTACTCACAAATTTGGAAAATATTATTACCAATGATGTGAAAGTACAGCCAAATGGGCCTAGAGTAGGAAAAAAAGAGTTTCAGCAGATAAGATAATTCCAAGACGAAGAAACTTCTGATTAGCAAAATTAAATACAGTATTTTGGAGCAGGAAGTCAGAAACTTTTCCTTCAAAAGGTGAAATATATTCCTAAATAAATCCCAGAAAAATCAAATAGTTGAACGTACAAAGTAAGTTCACAAAAATTATAAGAAAAAAAATACAAATTCAAAATACCAGGAATGGGAAAGACTTTTAAGATTAAAGGGCAATGGAAAGGAAAACACTTATAAATTTACAAACTCAATAAAAAAAAAAACCCACCGAAACAAAATTAAAAAGCAGACAAAATGGTATAACACTATGAAGAGAAATTCTTGTAGACAAAACATTAGTATCTTACTCAAAAGAGGACGAAAGGATATCCATAGATAAATCACAGTCCCAGAACATTAACAAAACTGAAGATGTTCAGTCACACAAGTAGTCAAAGAAATAAAATGAGATAAAATTTTCCTACCTCATAAGATATGGAAAAAATTCTTTACATGTGTCATCAAGGTCGGCAAGGGTATAGAGAAACTGACTCTATCTATATTGCGAGTGGTTATAAGAAATTTAGAAAACAATCCTTAACAGGGACTGTTAAAAATCCTTATATGTTTCTATAGTAAACCCATTTCAAGCAATCTACCATAGGAAATACTGTTATTTAACTCATCATTGTGTTAAATAACTCATATTGTCTTTATAACTCATCACTGTGTTATTTATGATAGTGGGAGACTAGAAATAATCTGAAGTCCAACATTTAGGATAAACAAATTTAAAGAATATGGCCCATACTGGAAGTCCTAGCATCAGCAATCAGACAACAAAAGGAAATAAAAGGCATCAGAATTGGCAAAGAAGAAGTCAAACTTTCAATTTTTGCAGACTACATGATATTCTACATAGAAAACCCAAAAGACTCCACCAGAAGCCTACTAGAACTGATCCATGCATTCAGCAAAGTTGCAGGGTACAAAATCAACGAACAGAAATCGGTTGCATTTTTATGCACCAACAATGAAGCAAGAGAAAAAGAAATCAAGAAACGGATCCCATTCACAATTGCACAAAAAACCATAAAATACCTCGGAATAAACCTAACCAAAGATATAAGAGATCTGTATGATGAAAACTATAGAAAATTTATGAAGGAAACTGAAGAAGACACAAAGAAATGGAACCGTAAAAACATTAAAAAAAAAAAAAAAAAAGAATATGGCCCAAGTAGTAAGATAAAACCATTTTAAAAATAATGTTTTCATAGAATACTGACTCAAGTAGGAAAATGTTCACAGTGAAACCCTATGGGTTAGTATAAAAATTTTGTAAAATATTTAAATTATTTGTGCAAATCTGTTATATGTATATGAACATAAACAAGACTGGAAAATAGTATACTAATATTTTAATAGTGGTTACACTTAGTGTGACATTATAGGTAATTTAATTTCTCCTTTCAAACTGTACATAAGCCAGATACTAGTGATACAGAGTTGATCAAAACACAGTAATTGCTTTCAAGTGCTCCCAGTAGGAAGTAGTAATAGAAAGGTATGAGTTTTTTGAAGCCAGATTTAGATTTGAGCTCTGTGTCATTATTTATGAGTTGTTTAGTTTTACAAGAGTCTCTTTTTCACTAAAAGGAAGATTTAATGCATTTAATATCGTTTTGGTAAACTCAAAATCAACAAACACTGACTACTGTTCTATTAGATCCTCTGTTAGCTGACTTCATGGAAATCATACTCTAATGGAAATGACAGGTACTAAGTAATTATTTTAAGAACAAGACCAAAAAAAATCATAAGTTGTGAACCCTATAGAATACATGAAAAGGGGTCTAGTCTAGGAGGTCAGGAAAGCCTCTTTGAGGGAGTTGTGGTGAATGAAAGATATGAAGTAGTAGTAAGCTAAGCAAAATAACAAAGGTATTTGTGAGGGAAGAGTATATTTCAAGTCATGGAGGAGTTCAGAAGAGACATTCAGTATGACTCAGTATAAAGAAGCAAGGAGAAAGTATAAAAGATAAGAACTGGAACAGCTGGTAATGATTAGGCTCCAGAGAAATCTGTAAAGCCAATGCGGTCAGAATTTTCTAAGGGTAGTGTGAGGTGACTGAAGAGTTAACTGACCTTTCCAAGACCACATAATTAATAAATGATGAAGCTGAAATCTGAAATCTTTAAATTTTGACTCTAAGGCTTATGTCAATCACAGAATATAAGAGAAGTCACCAAAATGAACTGATTAATAGCTAACATTATATACTTCTTTAAGTCAAAGAAGAGAGGCAAAAATGATGATGTAAGTGGAGACGAAGAAGAGAAGATAATGACATATTGTAAGTTGGATGTGGGGGTGGTAAGGCAGATGCAGAAGTCTAAAATTACTTTAGATGGCTGAAATTTTCATATTTGCTTCTCGACAGAAAAATAGAGCATTCATATTCAAATACAAAGGCCAGGAATACAGAATTTGAGATTTTTTTCTTACTGCTTGTCTTACTTTTGTTCTGTATTTCTGAATTCTCAGGGTAGAGTGTATATACACAGTTAAATACATAACTGAAAAATTGTGAACTTAAAATAAATGCTACTAATATCAGTTGTCGGCATTTGAAAAGTAATAAACATATTTTCAGTCAGGGTGGTACCTAGGTTTTTAAATGTTTGCATGGCTTTTTAGTTTTTGGATAGGACTGTCTGTAGATGCAAACAAGAAACTAGAAATAAATGAAAACAAATTATTTTTCCTTACAAAACATTTTGTTTAAAGTTTGATTCTGGTAAGCATGTAAACCTGGATCATAAAATTCCTTCTGAAGTAGGTTCTTAGGGTTTGATGATACGTGGGCATACAGCAAAAATTTCAAATACAGGTGTATGTAAGTAAAAGCCTTTGAGAACTAGTAAAATTCATCCTTACATGTGTGTTCCAATTTCCTTTACTTCATGGTGTATGACATCATCAATACAACAATCAGGTTTAAGTTCAGCCACGGCAGCATTGGAGGCTGAAAGGTTTAAACGCTGAGAACTTGTCTGAAGATCAGCCTTGAAAGAAAGAGGTAAAAAATTCCAAATGAGATTGGTTCACTACAGGGTGCGGATGGGTACGGGTGAAAAGACCAAGGGAACAGGAACGAGGAAGTAGGATTGAGGGGGAGTAGCACTTCTTGGTGGCAATCTTTCTACACAGGTCTGAAGCTTAGAACCTTGGCAATGGTTCACATACCCACACCGAAATTTAATACTATCAGCTAGGAGCCAGGGGGAATGTGGAGTGGCACACAAACAGTACCAAATGAACACAGTCATAGTTGGGGGGGAAAGGTGAGAAAAAAAAGAACCAACCTACCTAAGTTTGGCAAATGAAAGCTAGAGACAAAAAGAATGGCACGCTAGCTAGAATGTGCTCTAGCTAGTACATATGCTTGTTTACAGGGGTACGGATTAGCAATTCTGAAACGGTTATGTGTATACTAAGACTAAACAAAAAAATATGGATAACAAGAGTTAAGGTTCTCACTTTTGGAGAAAAACAAAGTACAAATAAAAAAAGGGAGAAGGCTGCAATGAAACTTTTGGTGCTGAGCTGGAATTTGAAGCATCAATATGAACATATGGTTTCAAAACATATATACAGATGGATATTCCAGAAACAAACACAGATAGATATGTATATGTAATACAAAATAAAAGTAACTATTCAAAACAATATGAGACATTATTTGTACAACTAAAGATCAGTATTAAAGTCATCAATGCAGAAGACTTCCTTCTCTAAATTAATACCCAATTGCTATTATATACCCCTTTTCCTTTCTTTTTGAACACTTCTCACCCTGTCATAAATGGCATTCTTCCTTAATCTCACTTACTTGCTGTCACATTCAAATTTAGCTTCCCTTGTGACATTTACCACAATCTGTAGTTACCTTATTTATATGATTTTGTATCCCTGTTTCCGCCTACCCTCCCAGAAATGTAAGGTCTATGGAGGCAGGAGCCTGCGGTCACTACTACAGCCTGCTGCCTGACATCATGGTAGGCAGGTAAGAAATATCTGTGGAATACTAAATCAAGTTATGATAAAACTTCAAAGCAAATGTCAAGAAAATTTCAGAGAAAGTTAAATTAGGGGGAGGTTTTTACATAAAAGCTAGGATTCTATTAAGTTTCTGTTTCTTAAAAACAACAACTAACAAACAGGTTTTCTACAGTTAACTCTAATCTAACATTCTTTTTTTTTTTTTTATGTTTTATTTATTTCTAGGAGAGAGAAACAGCGTGAGCAGGGGAGGGTCAGAGAGAGAGGGAACAGAATCCGAAACAGGCTCCAGGCTCTGAGCTGGCAGTCAGCACAGAGCCTGACGCGGGGCTCGAACCCACGAACCGCGAGATCATGACCTAAGCGAAAGTCGGACGCTTAACCGACTAAGCCACCCAGGCACCCCTCTAATCTAACATTCTTAATGCCAGGCACTTTGAAGCAGGATACTAATTAGTGCCATCTTTTTGGTCATTATATTCAGTTATTAAAAATTTTATGGCACTTTCAATGTGCAAGGCCTTGTTCTAAGCACATTACTAAGTCAATACTCAGAATCCTAAAGTAGGTAGTTGTACCATTCCTATTTTACAGACAATACAGATACAGAGAAGTAACAACTTCCCCAAGGTTATACAACTAATAACTTATAGGGCTGAGATTAAAAATTTCTTAAACATTTTAGAAATCAGAGAAGGGGGGAAACAGTCAAAACCATGGACTTTCCATCTAGTATGTTTTCCTATGTGTAATTTTGTAAATAATCATAATAACAGTATTAATTTATATATGGTTGAACACTTTTATCTTTCTGCTTTTTTCACTATTGTAAGTAGTGCTGCACCAAACATTTACTTCCTTATTACCTCGGCCAGGACTTCTCCAGGAGCTGGAGAAACACCAGTAAACAAAACAGATCTAAATTACTGCCCCTGCTGAACTGAAATGTTTGGGGAAAATAAGAGAAGAAATGGAAGGCTGGCGTGGGGTAGGAGAATACAATTTAAATTGCAGGGTAGGCTCTCTGCTGCAAATTGGTTTTTGGATGAGTAGAATTTGAATAGGCCAAGGGGAAGGTGAAGAGAAAAGGAAGCATTTCAGCTAAGTCTTTAGAGGCCATTACAAAAGAGTTTGGGGGGTACCTGTGGGTGGCTCAAAGGGTTAAGCATCCAACCTCAGCTCGGGTCATGATCTACGATTTGTGGGTTTGAGCCCAGCATCAATCTCTTTGCTGTCAGCACAGAGCCTGCTTTGGATCCTCTGTTTCCTTCTCTCTCTGCCCTTCCCCTGCTCATGTGCTTGCTCTCTCTCTCAGAAATAAACAAACAGTAAAAAAAATTTTTTTAATAAAAAAGAGTTTGGTATAATTAAGGGATTTATATTCAGGAATAGAGAAAAATTTTTCAAAATCTAGAATAAGCTTCAAGAGAATAGAGGTCTCCTCTGTTTTGTTTCCTGCTATAATTCTAGCAACTAGAATTAATTGTGCCTGGAAGACAATAGAAATGCAATTTCTTGGGCACCATTTCAGACTGATCAAATCAGAAATTCTGGGAATGAGCCTCAGCAATCAGCATTTTAATAAGCCTTCCAGATGTTATTAATACTTTCTAAACCTTGAGGATTACTGGTATAAATCCTAAGGGTTATCTATTATTTTTTATTTATAGCACGCTAAATACATTGTTTTTGTTTCTACAACACTATTTTTTTATGTAGCATGCTAAAGTTTTCAGATACAGGGAATTTTTTTATAAATTAAAAAACAAACAAATAGGAGTGCCTGAATGACTCAGTCAGTTAAGCATCTGCTTTTGCTTTGGGTGTAAGACATGATCTCACTCACAGTTTGTGGGATCAAGCCCCATGTCGGACTCTCTGCTGATGGCATGAAGCCTGCTTGGGATTCTTGCTCTTCTGCTCCTCTAGCTACGCACATGCTTTCTCTCTCTCAAAATAAACATTTTAAAAAAAGAAACCCTATGGCTCAGTTGGTTAAGCATCTGACTTCAGCTCAGGTCATGATCTCATGGTTCATGAGTTCGAGTCCTGCTTGGGCTGAGGCCTGCTTCTCTCTCTCCCTCTCTCTGCCCCTTACTCACTTACACCCTCTGTCTCTCTAAAAGAACAAAACAAAAACAAAAGCCCCTAGTGGGTTTCTAGTTAAACATGGTAGATTATTATAAGCATTTTTATCCTCAAAAACAATGTTAAGCTGACAGTGAAAGAATAAAAAAGTAGACATTCACAGTCTCTTTTCCAGGATTCCAAAATTAAAGGAGCTATAAAAAAATTAAAGCCACCTGGGTGGCTCAGTCAGTTAAACATCTGACTTTGGCTCAGCTCACAATTTCACAGTTTCTGAGTTCTAGGCATACATTGAGTGGGGCTCTTTGCTGACAGTGTGGAGCCTGCCTTGGATTCTCTCCCTCTCTCTTTGCCCCTCCCTTACTCATGCGCGCGCGCTCTCTCTCTCTCAAAAATAAGTAAACTTAAAAAAACTAAAGCTCTGAAGGCAGAATTCTGGGTAGCTGAGGTAATAGTAGCAGTGTAACTGTGGATCTCTCAAGTTATCCTCAAAACAAAAACAAAAAACACAACAAAAGCAAATAAAACTATACTAAGTCTTGTGTTAGTATAATCAAATTACCTACAAGTACACACATACCAAATTTTTGCAAGCTATTTCTCATACTCTTGTCATGAACCTTTGCAAAGATTAAGAAAAGTTCAGGAAAAGTTGAGCTGAAGAGAGAACTAAGAATAGAGAGAAGTGGGACTCCTGGGTGGCTCAGTCGGTTGAGCATCCAACTTTGGCTTAGATCATGATCTCACTCCTGAGTGTGAGCCCTGTGTTGTGCTGTGCACTGATAGAGCCTGGAGCCTGGAGCCTGCTTCGGATTCTCCCTCTCTCCCTGCCCCTCTCCCACTCATACTCTGTCTGTCTCTCTCTCAAAATAAATAAACATAGGGGAAAAAAAAAAAAAAGAACAGAGAGAAGAGCAGAGATGATCTAAACCACTTCCAGAAAGACCAAGTCTATTCTAAGTGTGAAAATACTGAGAAAGTGCATTTCTGGAAGATGAGAGCACAGTCTTTAGGAAAGGGTCTTAACCATGTCTGTGAAGAGCCACTCTTGGAAAGAATACATTTCAGGGGAAAAAGAACTTAAAAAGAGAGACACCTTGTGGAAACTGCAGCGAAGAGGAAAAATTTAGGACACTACAATTCATATGAAAAGAGGAAATGTGAGAAGATACAACCCTTTCTTCCTCTACCAAAAGCCACCCAATAAAGAAACCACACTTTGCTCCCACTGCTTTAAGGGGGTGTTTTATTTTATTTTATTTTTATAATTTATTTATTTTTGAGACAGAGAGAGACAAAACATGAGTGGGGGAGGGTCAGAGAGAGAGGGAGACACAGAATCCGAAACAGGCTCCAGGCTCTGAGCCAGCTGTTAGCACAGAGCCCGACGTGGGGCTTGAACCCACGAACTGTGAGATCATGACCTGAGCTGAAGTCGGACGCTTAACAGACTGAGCCACCCAGGTGCCCCTAAGGAGGTGTTTTTGAATTAGGAATATCAAAGCACCCAAAGTGCCTTGCACAGAATGAAAAGCCACCAATAGTCTTCATCTATACAAAAATACTGTAAAAAGAAAAAGATAATGAAATAATTCACTGATAAAAATGCCACACAAAACCAAGAGTGAAACAGAACAAAACTGTAAAACTCTCAAACTGAATTAAATACCCCAAAAAAACCCACATGTGAAATATGGAAACACACCTGAAATGAGAAATTTAAAAAAATTTTAATGTTTATTTATTTTTGAGAGCAGGTGAGGGGCAGAGAGAGGGAGACAGAGAATAGGAAGCAGGCTCCACACTATGAGCACAGAGCCTGATGTGGGGCTCGAACTCACAACTGAGAGATCATGATCTGAGCCAAAATCCCGAGATGACTGCTTAACTGGCTGAGCCACCCAGGCATCCCAGGAATGAAAAACTTTAAAGCTAAGGCTAAAAATTTTTTGGTTTGTTGTTGTTGTTTTTGTTGCTTTAGTGAGGAGCTAAAATTTTTTTAAGAAGAAAGTAAATAATTATGTGGAAACTAATTTGACAATAAACTTTTTGTAAAAAAAAAAAAAAAAAGAAAAAAAAAAAAAGAAGAAAGTAAATAATTGATTGAATTCAGGAAAGAAAAAGATGAAAAAGACACAAATTATATTAAAAATGCAATATGCTAAAGGAAATAATGGAATAAAACTATTATTAAAATATAATCCATGAATACTTTCTAGCAATAAAAGATCTAAATCTACATATTCAAAGGGTCCACTTAGTATCTGAGAAATGGTATCAAAAGACCAATTATAAAACATACAGAAAAAAAATCTCCAGGGCCTCCAGGAAAATATTATCAAATAACTTATAAGGCAAAAATATTAGACTGACATTAGTCCTCTTAAAATTAACACATATAGAGGTGCCTGGGTGGCTCAGTCAGTTGAGCGCCTGACTTCAGCAGGTCATGATCTTGTGGTTTGTGAGTTTGAGACTTGAATTGGGCTTGCTGCTGTCAGCACAGAGCCTGCTTGTGATCCTTTGTCTCCCTCTCTCTCTCTGTCCCACCCTCGCTTACACTTTCTCTCAAAAATAAAAATAAACATTTAAAAAGAGAGAAAAATCCACAACACATATAGCTAAGTAACAAAGGAGTAGCATTTTCATTAAACATAAGGAAAGAAAATGTAAACAAAGGATTTTATATCCAGCCAAACTGTCTTTCAAATATAAAACATTTTTGAACATGTAAAGGCTCAGAGAATATTATACCCAACAAGCATGTCCTGAGCAATCTACTTGAGAAATTTCTGTCCAATCAATATGCAAATAAAAATGGGAAGATATGAAAAAGGGAAAAAGGAAAGTGGTGTAAGCAATAGGTAAGAGATAAAGGATGATACTAAAGATGAAAAGCTTTATAGTAAGTAGCTAAGTAAGAAACAGGGAAGGGGTGAGTATCATAAAATGAATAACTATAAAGGCAAAAACAAAAAAAAATACAAACCTTTCTATATACAAAAATTATTTGAAAATAAGGAATGAAAACCTGTTGTGTGGAAAAAAAAAAACCCAGAGCAGACAGAACATAACACACTTAATATTTCAGTAGAAAATTGGAAATCAAGCACATAAACTTATAGATACATGTGAATGGACTTAATTAATCTAATAAAAAATTCCATATGGCTCAAAAAGACCTAATTATATGTTGTATAAAAGAGACATAAATAAAAACAAAAGGATTGATAAAGGATAAAATTAAAAAAGATGGGCAAAAGCACATCAGGCAAACGGAAACAGTAACAAAACAGGGGTAGTGATATAGGCATTCCAACTAAGATTCAACCCAAACAGCATGGCAAAGGAGGAAACTTTTAGTGCTATAAAACACAATTCAAGGTGAAGAATAACAAGTATAAATACCTGTGAACCAAAGAGCATAGCCTTTATAAAGTAAAAAAGTATAAAACATATAAATAGAAGCACGTTAACAATATGAGATTAACACGTCACTTTCAGTAGAAGATTAAGTGGACCAAAAAAAAGGGAAATAAAAACAGAGATCTAACAACACCATCAGCCCATATCTACCTTTACAATGGATGATAGAAAATACTCCTTCTTCTCAAGAACACATACAATATTCATTAAAAATTAGTGTTAGATCACAAAGAAAATATTAACAAGTTCTATAAGTAGGAATAAAACAAGAACAAAGCTCATTACGATGATCTATAATGTTATATATAGATCATTAACATTAAAGTAAAAAGGCCTTTCTATCTGAAAAAACTATTAAACAACTCTTGGGTAGAAGAGGAAATACAAATAAAATTGCAGAATTCTTTAAAAATAATCATACTGAAAAGGCTACATACTAGAATCTGTAGGATATATTTAAAGCAGTGCATCAGAAGAAAATTCACTGTTATCAATTAAAAAAGAATAAAAATTTAAAAATTCAATCCCTAGATGAAAAAGCTAGAAAAGAAAAAAGTAAATAATTAGAAGCACAAGGAGCTCATTAAAAGCAAAAATCAATGAGGTAGGAAAAAACAATAAATAAGTAACAAAAATTCCTGTTTTGAAAAAAACCAAGAGGTAGTTTAATCAAGAGGGGAAAAAAAATGGAAGCAAAATTATACAAAATAAAAAATAACTAGGGGAAAGTAACACAAAAACAAAAGATATTTTTAGAGACTACTTTGCAGACCTGTATGTAGATAAATTTGAAAATCTACCTTAAGTGAATCATTTCCTAGAATAAAACAGCTTCAGAAACTGTTACAAAACATTAATCATAAAAGGCTTAAACAAACTGATCACAGGAAACAAAGTGCAAATGCTATCAAGAAACGTCCCCCCTAAGACACAGAAGCCCATAAGATTTCACAGAATTCTAAACACCCTACAAAAACCAAATTGTCTAAATGCTCCAAATGTATTGTTCCAAAGCATTGAAAATGAAGGAAAATTATCTAAATCTTTTATTAAGCAACCATAATACTGACACCTAAAGTTTCACAGACAACATAAAAACGAAAATACAAGCTAATACTACGCTGTGCTTCCTAACCTATATCCTCTTAAGTTATTTTTAAGTCAAAAATGGCTTCTGTGTATATCGTGAATCTGAATGTCTTAACCTAAGAAACTAAGATAACTCTTGGTGGGCACTGCACTGTTCAATAAACATCTGCTATGATTATTATTAAACACCCCTATCTTTATGGAAATTAAAACTATTCAGTTTAATAGTTTAATTTAGAATTTATTTAATTCAGAACTATTTGTTCTTTTAAATACTAACTTAAATCATATACATTTGCTGATTTATTCACCTTATGAAAATAAATTCATCCTAAATGTACTGAATGCTAACTGTATGCCAGGAAAAAAGTATATGTTCTCAAAGTTCCATTTCATAATAAATGTAGAGGCTGGCAAACCTTTCCTTTAAAAGCTTAGATGGCAAATACTTCAGACTTTACAATTCCCCAATTAGAGCTTGAAATCTGCCACAGATGACACATAATGAATGACTGTGGCTGTGTGCCAATAAAACTTTATTCATGGAGACTGACATTTGAATTTCATATAATTTTCACCTAACAAAGTAAGATTGTTTCTTTTCAATCATTTGAAAATGTAGAAACCATTCCTAGTGCAAAGGCCTTATAAAAACAGGCAAGAGACCAAACTTGGCCAGCATGCTATACAGTCTGCCAATCCCTGACTTATAAAAAGGCAGAAACTCCATTCATCATATAACAAACATTCAATCACATATACAAAGTTTTGCATCCAGTTTCTGGAAGTTGGGTCATATATGAAATTTGGCATATTGGCTCTGTGAGGACTTTTTCAATTCTAACAATTGCTGATATTTTCAAGCTCATATTTTTAAATGTTCATTCATTTTTCAAAGAGAGTGTAAGATGGGGAGGGGCAGAGAGAGAGGGGATAGAGGATCCAAAGGCTTCTCCATTGAGAGCAGGGAGCCCAATGTGGGGCTCAAACTCAAAAACCAGGGAGATCTTGACCTCAGCCGAAGTCAGATGCTCAACTGACTGAACCACACAGGAGCCATTTCAAGCTCATTTTAATTGGACTTCCTTTTTGGCAATGCTCTAGTAACCTAAGCTCACCATGTGAAGACAGCTTTGATGACTTCTCTCTGACATAGAAGTAAATTTTTACTTTATGTCCTTTTTCTGAATAAACTTCAGATCATTTGAGTTAGCATATTTTACCTCCTGATTTATTAAAATTTTTTTAACGTTTTTATTTATCTTTGAGAAACACACAGAATATGAATGGGGGAGGGGCAGAGAGAGAGGGAGACACAGAATCTGAAGCAGGGTCTAGGCTCTGAGCTGTCTGCACAGAACCTGCCACGGGCCTCAAACCACTGAACCATGAGAACACGACCTGAGCCGAAGTCAGATGATTGACCAACTGAGCCACCCAGGCACCTTGTCTATCTCTTGATTTCTAAACCACTGAGACAATCTTCTAACTGGTGTATTTGCTATAAACCATCCCATATAATGCTTTTATAGCAGTCTTCTGGCACAGTGTAAATAACTTTGCTGTCTACTGCCTTAAATTAAAAAAAAAAAGGTTAAAACCTTTAGCTATAACCTTTCAAGATACTCAACTTTATGGCTACTACATATCTCTGTAACTTTACCTACTTCTTCTTCTTTTTAAATTTATTTGTGAGAAACGGAGAATGAACAGGGAAGGGACAGAGAGAGAGGAGGACAGAGGATCTGAAGCTGGCTCAGAACTGATTGCAGAGAGCCTGCTGTGGGGCTTGAACTCACGAATGGTGAGAATATGACCTGAACAAAAAATTAGATGCTTACCTGACTGAGCCACCCAGGCACCCCTGACCTTACCTATTTCTATCAAGTGAATTCTGTTCACTGCTACAAGAACACATTATGGATTCCTATGGCTCTGCTCCTGATTATCATGTCCCTCTTTTTCTCTAAATCCCACCATTCTTTAAAGATTCTGTCATGTTCCTTCTCCTCTAATAAGCCTTTGTGATTGATGCAATCCTCTGTGATCTTTCCTCCTCTAATTTTATGTTTATCATAAATTATTAATAAAAATTTAAATCTGTGACTGTACATTTATCTCACTCAAGCTATGATAACCTTGGAGGATAAGGAAAAAGGTTTCTGGCTTAGCATAATCTCATACCTTTAGGAGTTCAATTAATGCTTGCTGTTAATAACAATTAAAAAGTCCAGTATCAAAATGTATTTTAATGAAGTTTCAGAAACATAAGAATAGAAATTAACAAGCTAAAAAAATATATATCCCAAACAAGAATGCCACTTACTTTTACTAATATATCTTTTACAACTTGATTGCTATCATTATGAACGCTGATATAACTGGAAAAGGTCTCTCCCAAAAATATATTCCTGTGAAATAAAATAAACTTTTAGGCAGAAATCCATTCAAGTTTTAACACACAAATATTCTACTTCAGCACGACTGAGAACTTTAAATGGAGGAGACTTTACTAGAGGACACAGATCAGTTGAAAACTGCTTCAGCATCCCTTTGTGTACCTTAGGCTGCTCATTCATTACCCAGTACAATTCAAAATATTGACTTATTCTATAAAACACGATATACATCTAGCCCTCAAATACTGCACAAACAGCCAGTTTCCCAAGATAAAAGCTACTGAAGTCAGATCCATGTTAAAGGTCTTATGATTTATTACTTAAGAGGCTAGAAAATGGCAATTTTTGAAATAACTTATTCCCTGAATCTAGAAGAGACCCAAGTAATTGATCTCAGTATTTTTTACCAATTTGTTTTATTTTTCTAAGTTGTTCTAATACAAATAATGTCTACTGGATTAACCTTGTGTTTTTTATTGAAGTATATTTTATAAAAATACATGTTTATAAATACGTATTACAAAAAAATACAAAAATATTTTACATGAATATATTTCCAAGCTTTCAAGACACCAGTCACATTCTGTAAACCTTTTTAAAAAACCTGAAAAATTCCATTTTCTTTTTTTAAACGCTTTATTTATTTCTGAGAGAGAGAGAGAGAGTGTGTGAGCAGGGGAGGTACAGAGTCTGAAACAGGCTCCAGGCTCTGAGCTAGCTGTCAGCACAGAGCCCGATGCAGGGCTCGAACCCACGAACTTGTGAGACCATGACCTGAGCCGAAGTTGGACTCCCAACAGACTGAGCCACCCAGGCGCCCTAAATTCCATGTGGTCTTAAATGCTCTCAAATGCAAACACAGTGAAACCAGGAGCTTCTACCTCATTAATAACCTGGAGTAAGAGAAGAGCTAGGAGTAAGAAGGAATAAAAATTGAGAGTTCCTAATAAAATGACAAGTCTGATAACTTATGTTGGGAAACAGCTGTGTAAGTGAACAATAAGTTGCTTCTGAAAGACATTTAGATTAAGTCGGTTAAAATAAAGGAATACATAGTAAGATCTAAAGAAGAAAGTTAGAATTTTATCATCATAGAAACCCCTATTCATATTTTGGTATGCATCTTATTTTTTTTTTTTTAATTAAAAAACCCCCCAGAATCACATATTATAATTTTGGTAAAAAAAATTTTTTTACACCACTTTAATGTACCATGAGTATTTTTCCATTCCATAGTTTTTATGAACACATAATATGTAATGGCTTTAAAGTACTGTTGCATGTTTTATGTCAACGTTATCATTCTTACCCAAAATTCTGTGGTAAAGTCAACATTTCTCCCAACATTAAAATTTCTGCACCATTTACAGTTGAAGGGTCATCTCTCATGAGTTGGTTAAAGAGATCTCCTATAGAAAGAGAAAAACATAAAATCCTAACATGTATGTTTTAAGTTTTACTTCCATTAAGAAAATAGCTTCCATTAAAATAATCTAATTTGTAATCTTCACTGTAACAAATGTGTGCCAAAAAATTCTACTTTCACAGAGAATGAACACTTCAGAAACAAGGGAAAATGGAGGTCATGAAATATAAAATATAGATAACTCTAGTAATTTTAAATAAAGGGAATGCTAGTACACATGTTGATAGAACATTTGAGGATAAAAAAAATTTTGATGTGATGACTATGAATGCACGCCTCCTGTTGCCAGAGGATAGCCAACAGTCATCTTGACTTAGAGATTATGAATGAGACCTACCACTTAGATAGCCACCACTCATATTGTAAACAAAGAGGCAATAAAGAATGCAGCAAAGAGTTAGCATAAGACTGGCAAGACTATGCTTATTGCAAGGTAATACAGGCATTCCAAGATGCAACTTTCCCCTAGGTGCAAGTAGAACAAAGCATACCAGGTAAGTCCTTTTCTTCACATGTTACTGGAATATTGGTGAATAAAGTAGGTTTAGTTAGTCTCATCACTGTGAAAAGAAAAAAAAAAAAGAAAATATTAATACTGCTTTGGGCCAGTATTCCCAAGTTGAATGTATATCTATCAATTCTATATTATCAAATACAACCTAAAAGCTTGCTAAATATAATATTAAGTACTTCTCAAAATTACACTAAAATATTAAATGCTACTAAAGTATTAATTTACAACAAAAAATCTTACATTATTTACTTATAACCTCATGATTATATACCACATTATAGAGTAAGTGGAAAAAAGAGGGATTTTAAAGCTTATGGTATATGAGAACAAGGCTTAAAAAAATATCCTGAGTGACTTCACTGTGAACAGTATCAACAAAATATCAGCCTGAAAGCAAAACAAGTTTTGATGCACCATTTTGAACATCAAACCATAATTTCAAACCAAAAGAATCTTAGTGAACTTTATCTCTCAGTTCTAATCACTGGCCACTGGAAGTTCAATAAGTGGGCCTATAAGTAATAGTAATTTTGTAGAGAAATTACAAAGGTACCACTTAACATATAGCTTTTTAAAATTCTAATCAAAACTAAGATTTGTTCTTGTGACATAAAAGAATACATCGAGGTTTAGAAAAACAAGTTAAAATAAGCTAAGGAAATTAATGGGAAAAAATGAGGAAGAACTGGATTTACCATATATTAAAACATTTAAGTCTAAAATCAGCTAATTGGCTTATTAATGCATGACCATACAGATATATTAGATAGTTTTTAAAAAAAGATTATTAGGATGAAGCAAAAAAAAATCAGCATTATAAAGTGCTAGAACAACTGTTTACTTATGTAGAAAAAATAAAAAATTAATTTACAAATTCATTTCAATTATGAAAGGCCTACATATCAAATAGTTAACAGGCAAGAAATTAAGCCACAGAAAACTAAAAAGAATGAAAATTTATGTTAATTTAGTTTAGTGTGGATAAGACATTCTAACTATTGAAACATTCTAACTATTGCAAATCTTTTTCAATTATTTCTAATGACTGACATTTGATCACATCAAAATAAAGAGCAAAATATAACATTAAAAATCATACAAACTTGTAAAATATTTCAGAAAATTCAGGGGTACCTAAGTCGGTCAGTTGGTTAAGCGTCCAACTCTTAGTTTAGGCTCTGGTCATGATCTATCTCATGGGTATGCCCCATGTTAGGCTCTGTGCTGACAGGACAGAGTCTGCTTGGGATTTTTCTCTCCTTCTCTCTGACCCTCGCCTACTCTAGCTCGCACACTCTCTCTCTCTCCCCCCAAAATAAACTCTAAAAAAAAAAAAAAAGTTCATTCAAATCAAACTCCCAAACTTTAAAGACTATTAACCTAAAAGGCCTATTCACAGTATAAGTGATATTCATTAGCATATGTAACATGTACCATCTAACTACTAACTAGTTATATCATTCATATTGAATTTAGCACCTTTCTCATCTTGGTCTCAGCTTAAATGTCACATTTTCCAAAAAAGAAATAACAGCTCACCTGCTTCTCTCATAGCCCCTTGTATTTATCATGGACTAACATATGTACTTATTTACAGCACTCTGATCCAAAGTCCATGAGGTTTAGGCTCTTATGTATTATGTTTAGTTTTGTGGCTTCATTGCTTGACATAGGTTCTGGCAAATAGTATATTCTATAGATCTTTGCTAAATGAAAGAATTAGCAACTCATCCAAATCCTCAAGTAAACAGTATTTTGAAGATGTAAGTTTCATGAACTGAGGCCACTAAACAATGTTTGTTATATTAAATAGATGGCTTTTGAGGGGTACCTGGCTGGCTTAGTTGGTAGAACATGCAGCTCTTGGTCTCAGGGTTCTAAGTTCAAGCCCTATGCTGGGCGTAGAGCTTACTTAAATAGAGTAAAAATAAAATAAAATAAAATCATAATATAAATAAGTAGCTGTTGAAATAGACAATAAATGTTAACCTTAAAATTTCTGAAGTCACTTGCAGAGCTAATATTTAATGAGCATTTACTAGTGCTAGACAGTACGCTAAATAACACACATTCAATTCTCAGGCCTACAAATCTGGTACCACTGTCCACCTTTATACATAAGAATGATACTTCCAGAGGATAATTTGCCTATAAAAGACTATATAGGGGCACCTGGGTGGCTCAGTTAGTTAAACACCGACATCTGATTTCCACTACGGGTGGGATCTCAAGGTCCTGAGATGAAGCCCTGCATCAGGCTTCTGCCCTGGGCTGGAACCTGCTTACGATTCTCCCTCTCCCTCTCCCCTGAGAGTTCTTTCTCAAAAAAAACAAAAACAAAAACAAAAACAAACAGTATATAAATATATTATATACATAAACACACACACATACACATACATACATGTATATATATATAAATTTTAAAATAGACTACACATCAAGTGGCAGAATTAGATTTGAACTCAGGTAAATTGACTCTGTTCAAAAACAATTATCTGGCTTGGTTGATTAGGGGACTGACTCTTGGTTTTGGCTTTGGTCAAGATCTGAGGGTTTATGAGACAGAGCCCCATATCAGGCTCTGCACTGTGCAGAGCTTGCTTGGGATTCTCTCTCTCTCTCTGCCCCTTTCCTACTCTCTGGTTCTCTCAACATAAACAAACAAACATTAAAAACAATTCTCTGTATGATTAATTGTAAGCTTAGGTTCATAAACCAAGAATGTCAGGCCTTATGAGAAACATCCTATTGGAATTCAAATCAGGACTCTATCAAGCAGAATATTAACGAGATAAAGATCATTGACATGGCATGGGAAGTGCTTGGGTAGGTGTTTTCTAACTTTCCACTTCATTCTTTGGCTATTCGGTGTCTTTTGTGGTTTCATACAAATTTTAGGATTGTTTGTTCTAGTTCTGAGAAGAATGCTGGTGCAATTTTGATTGCGTTTGCATTGAATGTGTAGATTGCTTTGGGAAGTACTGACATTTGAACAGTATTTGTTTTTTCCATTCATGAGCATGGAATGTTTTTCCATTTATTTGTGTCTTCTTCAATTTCTTTTATAAGCTTTCTATAGTTTTCAGCATACAGATCTTTAACATCTTTGGTTAGGTTATTCCTAGGTATTTTATGGTTCTTGGTGCAACTGCAAACGGGATCGATTTCTTGATTTCTTTCTGTTGCTTCATTATCGGTGTATAGAAATGCAACTGATTTCTGTACACTGATTTTGTAACCTGCAACTTGGCTAAATTTATGTATCAGTTCTAGCAGCATTTTGGTAGAGTCTTTCAGGTTTTCCATGTAGAGTATCATGTCATCTGTGAAAAGTGGAAGTTTGACTGCTTTGCTAATGTGGATGCCTTTTATTTCATTTTGCTGTCTGCTGAGGCTAGGATTTTCAACACTATGTTAAACAACAGTGGTGATAGCAGACATCCCTGTCATGTTCCTGATTTCATGGGGAATGCTCAGCTTATTTTTAATTACGAAAGCAGATTTAAATTATGTACAACCTGAAGATTTTAAAAAAAGGGGGCACTAAAAACGATATACAGAGACTGTTTTCCCCCCCCTCAATATCTAAGACTCTTAAGCTCACTTTTTACATTTATTTATTTATTGAAAACACAAGCGGAGGAGGGGCAGAGAGAGTGGGAGGGAGAATCCCAAACAGGTTCCATACCATCAGTGTGAAGCCCAACTGTTGGCTCAAACCCACAAGCCATGAGATCATGACCTGAGCCATAGTCAAATGCTTAACCAAATGAACCACCGAGGATCCCTTCTAAGCTCACTTTTAACACCAAATGGTCTCTGTCCCCTCCCCCCCCACCTTTTTTTTCATTTCAGAAGAAGCCTAATCTTAACAAGGGCAAAATACACTCTCAAATCCTAAAACACTTTTTAAAAATTGTGTCCTTGAAAATCCCATGTGATTTCAATCCAATGTGGGATTTAAAAAAAAAACCAGCAAAAGGAAAAAAAGAGAGACAAACCAAGAAATGGACCTGTAGAGAGAACAAATTAATGGATACCAGAGGGGAGGTGGGTGGGATCATGGGTTAAATATGTGAAAAAGATGAAGGAGTGCACCTGTTGTATTGAGCACCGGGTGTTGTACAGAAGTACTGAATCATTCTTTTGTACACCTGAAACTCATATTACATGTCTGGTAACTAACTGGAATTTAAATTAAAAATTCTAGGGCACCTGGGTGGCTCAGTTGGTTAAGTGTCCAAGTTCAACTCAGGGCATGATCTCTCTGTGAGTTCAGGCCCCATGCTGGGTTTTGTGCTGAGAGCCCAGCACCGAGAGGCTGAGTCCAATTCTGCATCTTCCTCTCTCCCTTCTGCTCCTCCGTGGCTCGAAGTCTAACTCTCTCTCCCTCAAATATAAACATTAAAAAAAAACTTATAGATAAGTGTCCTTGAGTTCACTTGAGTAGCCAACTTATTTGCTTATTATATGCTCAAACTTCCATTGTGTACAAGTCTTATTAAGCTTAGTTTTTGCAGATTCTGATTTTCTAGGGGATGAGACAATAAGGGAGTCAGTAAAGAACGCTCTATTAAACATAAAGAAGTTCCCAAACTGGTACAATAAATAAGTTTTCTTCAGGAGTGCCTGCGTGGTTCAGTGGGTTAAATGTCCGACTTTGGTTCAGGTCATGATCTCACAGTTCCTGAGTTTGAGCCCCAAATCTGGCTATCTGCTGTCAGGACAGAGGCCACTACAGATCCTCTATCCCCCTCTTTCTGCCCCTCCCCAACTTGCCAGCATGCTCTCTCTCTCTCTCCCTCTCTAATAAAAATTTTAAAAAAGGAAATCTTTAAAAAACATGTTTTCTTCATATTTTCAAAAACAGTAAAAATCAGCAGGGGTGGAAATGCGGGGATAGCAGTGGGTAAGAAATACTATCATTTTATGGACTCAAAGGAAACCACTATATAGCACAGTTCATTATAATGCAGATTCTTAAATACAACTGGGAAAGCCCTGTTAATAATATAAAACTATCTCATCATTTGAAGGAAGATTCAAGTATGCCGCTATCAAATACAGATTTAAAATGCAGTATTTCCTGTCTTACAACAAATTAATGGGCCTCAAAAATTACAGATCATGTTGGCTGTAAAGAGCGAATTAACAATAAAAGGTGTAAAAAAAAAAAAACCTGGCAGACGCACACCTGGGTGGTTTCGGTGGTTGAACATCCGACTTTGGCTCAGGTCATGATCTCACAGTTGCCAGTTAGAGCCCCACTTCAAGCTCTGCGCTGACAGCTCAGAGCCCGGGGCCTGTGCTGGGTTCTGTGTCTCCCTCTCTCTCTCTGCCCCTCCCTTGCTTGTGATCTCTCTCTCCTCTCTCTCTCTCATAAACAAACATTAAAAAAAAAACTGTCAGAGGAACTCCTATGTGGAATTTAAAAAACAAAACCAACCATCAAAAGAATAAAAAGGTAATTAAATGATAGTCTTATATTTAGCTCTGAATGTTAGATCAGGTTCTTAGTCAAAAATTAGGGAAGCCAAAAGTATATGTGACTTTCAGCCCAGGAAGAAATCAAATATTCACTCTACACAGCAAATAGTGTCCTGTGTAGAGCCATTCTCATTGGCCCTCACAAAACACAGACAGTTCATTTAGTTATGAAATTCAGGTTTCATCTATTTTCTTACAAAAAACTTTTAGAAGTCCTCAATAAATTATGAAAGAGATAGGCTGAGGTTACAAACGAATTAACTGGGCCAAGTTCAACTTGTATATACATTTTGCTTGGAAAGAACTTAAAAATTAAATTAGGGAAATCTTCTTAACCATATTCTACAGTCTTGCCAATCTAATTCCTGAATGATTTCAAGTTTGTGAACTGAAATTCTGGGCATTTTGAGCACATTATATCAAAGTGAATCATTATGCAGGAGCTCATCTTAGAAATTCTCAAAAAAACGGTCTTTTAAGTTATTTTGTAAGTTGGTAAATGAAGTTAAATTCATATGATACACTCCACATCATTTTTTCATTGAATTAGAGTTATCATTTATCTGAAGGTAGACAGCTTTTCAGGGAAAAATAAAATTGAGATACTGCTATCATTGTCCTAGAGTAAATGCTGTGTTTTATTAAATGCCCTCATAGATTCACCTTCCTGTATACATTGTTCTTAAGTTAATAGACAGGCCTACGAACTCACCTGATAGTCATTTATTTCTAGGAAACAAACTATACGTATTATGACACAGCTTTTTACAACATTAAAAATGAATAGGCTATATGACTGAAGGGTTAAATAAAAAAGTCATAAAAAATTTAAAAACTCATAAAAATTTATTGATTCCAAATCACAATTCATTCAGAATATTCTTCTGTTTGACAATGACTGGAATTCATTACATACTAAAAATAACGCCATATTTACGTACGTATAAATTCATTCTCCCAGTAAGAGCTAATCTTCCCTTCAGAAGATTTCCCACATATTCACAGTACCTAATATCACAGAATACCCATATTTGGCCTAAGTGTCTCTGAATCGTAGCATTACAAGATGGAAGTTCATTGTGTCTGATAATTTGATTGAGTTTTGTCCAAATGTCTTCCAGAGTTTGGTTGTTACAAATAGTGTGCTCTATAGTCCATCTTCCCCTATAAAGTGAATGCAAATTCAGTGCCTTTAAACTATCTTGCAGTTTTTTAGACAAAGGAAAAATATTTTCAGTGCAATTACTGTTGGGAAGTGAAACACTCCAAAACCTCTTCTTGTGTTGTCTTCCCTTTTCTGATCGTGTATTTAGATTTCCAGAATTAGCCTGTTCATTCAGTGCGTATGGCCAGATTAAGTGCTTTTTTTTTTTTAAATTAGGCTGAAATTCCAAAAGATCTATTGTGCAATCATAACTCTGTGATTTAACATCATGTTCTGAAATGGTTAAGTAGAGTTTCACATCTTCAGCTGCCTCTTCAGAAATCAGAGGTGGTGATCTTTTAGGTTTGAGTGGAAGTCTGGACCCATCATGAGGAAACCAAGGAATAAATCTTGATAGTGGACGTGTAGGAAAGTCTTGAAGTGCTTTCTCTGCAATTTTTGGCAGTTGTGTGGGATCACTCTCATATGGTCGATAATGTAATATTACTTCTGTAGTCATTCTGCAGTAATCCAGTCACTCTTAATGAAGAGAAAATTTCTTAGACGTGCTCCTTAACACTAGAATGTAATTTATAATTATAAGACTTTCTTTCCAAATCAGAGGGAATCAGGACCTAAAGCAGAAGTATTGCAAAGAGTAAGGTACGGCAGGGATAACCTACACACAAATAGGGAGAAAAGAAAAAACAAAAACCAATCCCAGTATGGTATTTTATCAAGTGTTGTTGGTAAACGTAAATGTAATCACAAAAGCGGAAACCCTCTGTCCACTAAAATAAGGGATCTGGATTAGATGCCTGGTCAGCCTCAAACTGCTAGTAGTCAACATGTCCAGCTCAACATGCAAATATTTATAAGTATTGTTATTAATATATTAGGTAATAATCTTAAGACTATAGCAGAAACAAAGGGTAAATTATCCATTCTTAGAATATCATATTCATTTGAAGATAACAAAAATGTACTAATACTTAAAACTTCGAGACCTCCATTGAGGAAAATGAAACTCATTGATTTTTAATACCTTGAAAAAACAGATCATTTTATAATTTAAAATGATATGAATTTTACCAAACACATAGACATAATACTTAATGATCTTTCATTCCCAATACTAGGCACTAATAACATGAAAACAGTTAAATTTTGCAGTTTAACCAGGCTAGGAACCAGTTTTGCTAAAAGTGTCCTTGTATAAATGGGGCACTTTCACAGTATCAAGATGTTAGTACCATGGATCCCGAATTCCAATTCGGAGGAGGAACAAGAAGGCTAGACCTTATTATTTTTTTCCTCTTAGAACAAAGAAGTCTTCATGTTGCCCCAAATTGGGTCACTGATAGTATGTTCCAGCATACAGTCAGGCTTCCAAAGCTGCATGACCCAAAACGCAAGCTCTTTCAAACTCTCGTTACTATAGAAAAAAATGAGACATTGTATCTCTTCTCCCCCAAATCATTAGAGAACTTCTTGAAGGCACTCTCCTATTACTAGAATGGCCATAGGTGGGGACTACTGTTGTGATGTCATAATACTCATTTGATCACTGATTCTGAAGAGTCAGAAGTAATTAATTTCATCATGATTCTTTTCGCCTACTGTTAATGTGCGGTGACTGATTGAACAACTTAAATTTATAAATGGTGTGATTCTTAAGGCCTGTAATTTTTAATATGAATCTAAACATAGCATATTCTTTTCTTCTTTATGTTTATTTCTGAGAGAGACAGAATGTGAGTGGGGGAGGGCCTGAGAAAGGGAGACAAAGAAAGAATCCAAAGCAGGCTCCAGGCTCTGAGCTGTCAGCACATGAGATCATGACCTGAACTGAAGTTGGACACTTAACCGACTGAGCCACCCAGGCACCCATAAACATAAAAATTTGGTTAATTGTTTTTTATTTATTTCTGAGAGAGAGAGAGACAGAGAGAGAAGGAAAGAGCATCAGCAGGGGAGGGTCACAGAGAGGGGGAGACACAGAATCTGAAACAGGCTCCAGGCTCTGAGCTGGCTGTAAGCACAAAGCCCGAAGCGGGGCTCAAACCCATGAACCGTGAGACCATGACCTGAGCTGAAGTTGGACGCTTAACTAACTGAGCCACCCAGGCACCCCCTCATTTATTTATTTTTTAATATTTATGCATTTTTGAGAGTGAGAGAGACAGAGTGTGAGCAGGGGAGGGGCAGAGAGATAGGGAGACAAAGAATCTGAAGCAGGCTCCAGGCTCCCAGCTGTCAGCAGAGAGTCTGATGCAAGGCTGGAAATCAAGGACTGTGAGATCATGACCTGAGCTGAAGTCAAATGCTTAAATGACTGAGCCACCCAGGCACCCTTAAACATAGCATATTCTTAAAACAATAATGCTTTCATTTTTTTTCTTTCCTCTTCCTTTTATTTTCACATTTTAAGATATGGCATTGAGAATTATTTTATTTCTGTTTGAAATTATTCAGTGTTGTACTCTGAGGATGATGAAGTCGTGACAGCTCAATTTTTTACACATATAAGAAAGTAAACTTAAATGATCATATAAGTTGATATACTTGTCATCCAGCAATCAGTACAATTAAACTGGTCAAAATTCTTTAATAAACTTTATGATTTTATTTTTTTTAGGTAATCTTTATACTCAATGTTGGGCTTAAACTTGAAATCAAGAGTTGTATGCTCCATTGACTGAGCTAGCCAAGTGCCGCAAAACTTGTGAAAACTCTTGATTAACAAGGGGGAATAACGGTACTGGAGAGCTTTAATAAAGCCAAAACTATCTGTAAATTTCAAAGCACTTGTCCTTTTAGGCTGCTAAAATACACTTTCCTAGGTTATCTTCTGCTTCAGAAAATAAAGAATAATAGAAAACTACAAATTCTCAATGGCAGTTAGCTTCCCTATCACTGGAATTTAACTGTATTTAAAATAGCTTCCAATTTGCATAAAATCAAACCTAACAGCTAACAGAAGTGTTCCAATTTCCCATAAAAGTAGTTGGTGAGATAAATATTCTCTGAAAATGCAGTTTCCATCATTAGGAGGCAACATGTAGTTAAGGCCTTGCGGAAATACTGCCTTTAATCACTAGTTTTGTGATCTTGAAAAAGTTTCTTAAATTTATGAAAGATATTAAGTAATATCTATTCTACATGCTTGATATGGGATTAAGAAAGAACATGACAGTTTCTTTTCCTTTTTCTCCAGAAAGAACCCCTTTCAGTCTAATTTATTTGCTCAGGCTAAGCTTATAGGTCCTATTGCTATATTAGTATTTCTGTTTTTTAGTTCTATAGTCAGAGACAGATCTATTAAACAGAGCTATCAGTATATGATTTTATGTTACAAATGAGACTGATAAGCTTCTGGAATGTTTGATGACTACATCATAACTGGGTACAGATAATTATCCCTCAAAATGGATGCCAAAGGGAGGTAAGTGCAATTCAACTGAATTCAAATGTCTATGGAACCTCTTCACGGCTCAGTTGAACAAGTTATTGGAAACCACCCAGTAGAGCATCCAAGAAATAAGTGCATTTGTATAAGTAGGAAATAGATGAAGTAAGGCTGAAAGCATTTTAAATAAAAGGTTTTCAGAAAACAATAATTCCAGAAAAACTCTGCCCTGTTGGTTTTCCCTAAGTAATGATACAATTACATCATCGACCTTTATTTATTTTTTGCTTTGTACAGAAAACGAAAATTGGCATAAATTTTCCCACATCCACACCACTTTGAAGTAAACTGCAGTACGTTATAACAAATCTATACGTTGTTGTACTGTTTCAAAACCCTTGGCGATGCTAAAACTAGATCAATTTTGCAGATCAAACTGAAGTCTGGTAACTTCGTCAGTGGCACACGAAGACACAGGAGACAAGGAAAAGCCACTAAAGATGCTTACTGTACATCATCTTGGGTCACAGGGCTCTTAGCTTCTCTGACTAAAACCGGTCTGGTTACTGCAGCAGCATATAACACAGTGACATTATAGGAATATCTATTACATTCTAGAAGAATGCAATAGAAGTCTGTCAAACCTAAAAAGCAAAGAAAAATTGCTTCCTTCCGCTCGGCGCCAAAGAACAAAGCAAGAACGCAGGCACTAATGGTGTTTAAGGACGAGGCCGACATCCCAGGGACCAGGCCTGGGTGGCAAAGGCTTCGAGAACTAGCGAGAGAAAAGAAAACAGAGGAGTCGGGTTCGTAAAGTTTACCTTTCAGGGCCAGCAGGTGCTCCTGTTTGGGGGGATTCACTTCCATTTTGACCGGCACTTTCGACCCACTGCCTACGGCAGCTGAAGAGGTTCAACGCAGCCCGGAAGAAAACAGTGCAACGTACGTTCGGGAAGATCAAGTGCACACCCAACAGTTTCTGCTGGCGGTGCCTTAAATTTTCTTCTTACCACGTCCTTTACGTACTCAACAGCTTCTTTTCACCAAAGCCATATCTTGCTTCTTGGAGATTTATACATAAAATACTTTTCTGTTTTCCAGCCACGATCACACATCGCGTCTTCAGGAAACCACTCCTCGCTGACAGAACAGAGCCCCACAAATACCTACAAGGCGGAGTAGGGGAAAAAAAACAAAACAAAACCCAAAACTAGTATGGCATCCTGGGATTTGTAGTTTAAACAAAAACCAAACTGCATGCAGGGAGATGTAGTCTCCCGTAGTCCTCACGCCTAGTCTCCAATTAGGAAGCGATCGTTTCTAAAACGGGAGTTTCACTCCAAAACGTTACTTCTTGCTTTATCCTTTGTTTTTTTCTTTAATTTATTCATTCCATAAGCTGCAGTCTCCTAAATAACAGCGATAAAAACAGCAAAGCGTTTATACACACGGATAGGCTTCCCAAGAGCTAGTGACTGGCAGGGGGAGGAGCTCTGAGGTCAGCTCAGCAGAGCCCCGCGTCGTACTGCGCCTGTGCGACAGCGGCGAGCGCCGAGGCCTCTGGGTAGATGGTTCTACCCCCGCCCCTTAGTTGAAGGCCGAGACGGCTGCTTCTGCGGCACCGCTCCTCCTAGGATGGCTACCCTGGTTGTAAACAAGCCTGGAGCGGGACTAGACAGTGGCCGTCAGGGCAGCCGGGGGACGGCCGTGGTGAAGGTGAGGGACCTTGCGTGCTCCGTTCTCCACCTTCGGCCTCCCTTCGGTTTATCCTTGAGATCTGGCGGCGTCGCCCCGGCCGTCTTCGGGCAGGATGCGCGGCCTTTAGCGCCCCTCTCTGCTTTACATGCCTTGCCCCCCACCCCGCAATTTAAAAAAAAAAAAAAAAATTTTTTTTTTTTAAATATCTGCGGGCTTGAGGTTGCCTGGTGTTCTGTTCATACCAGTTCTCTGCTTGACGTCGCCGATGGGGACGTTTATGAAAAAGAGCTTGTGGGCCCGTGAGACTGACTTCGGCCGGTCTTTCCCTAGATCCTCTGCTGCTAGTCATGTTCAACAGGCATTAGCTTATTTTTATTAAATTGAGCCATTATTGTCGCTAGGTGCTATGTTAAGTATTGTAGCTCGTTAGTATCTACTTATAGGGTATATGATAATTACCATTAAACAGGTGATACTCAGGTTTGGGTTAACACAGTATGTGATGGAGCCAGGGCTGACTGCATTTAATGTCTTATTTTCATTATCGCACTAATTCTAAAACCAGGCGTGTATTACTGGTTGATCTGTCCCCCTCCTGTCTTGGTAGTACAGTCTTTCAGCACTTGCGAAGTCTCCCAGTAGCAGCATGGCTGGGCATTACCGTTAAGGTATACCAGTTACCTATACTTGAGGTTTAAAATTACACTATGCTTAAATGCTTCAAGATGCATTGGCTAAAAAATGAGTTGAATTATGTGGAATTCACGTTTCCCTTTCACTGTATAGGTGTGGAAAGATTTGGAAAGAAGCGATCTCAGTCTTTTGTAGAAAACTTTCAGGATTATAGTAATCTCAGTCATTGTTATTTCTCGTTAGTGGCTACATATAAGAATAACAGGATTTAAAAGAAAAAAAAAACACCCTAATGCACTCTTCCTCCCCCAGTTCTGATTAACCTGACATAAGTATATTTTTCTACATTTCCAGAAGTGATTTGAATGTGCAACTAGGGTTGAGAACTACTGTAGCAGATAATATCTGATGTTCTTTTAAGATCTTGGATAATAGGCACCAATAATTTCTCACCGAATGTTGGTTTTAGATGACAACAAATGATAAATTTCTGGTTACAAGTATATTAACAATCAATATTGATGGATTTTGATTCATCTCACCTTTATATTATTAATGAAGTTATTCTGAAAGTACACAGCATATCTGAGATACAGAGGGAGCCCTGTTAGGCATGTTGTATGGTTGAGCATTTATTTATTGATTTGTGCTTTAAGTAGGGAATACCTCAGGATTATTTTGTGAATTAACTTGAATCAATAAGTTGTAGTTAGAATGGATATTATTACTGTATATACCTTTGTTACCCTAGTTGCCTTAAAATCTCAAAAATATACCAACATCTGATAAAACTCAAATTTATTACAGCATAGAGTTTGATATGTTAGAGTTTCTCTTTGTTCATTTTTATTATTTTGTTAACATTTAATCAGTTTTGAGAGAGAGTGTGTATGGGGGAGGGGCAAACACAGAGTAGGACAGAGGATCTTAAGTGGGCTGCACAGCAAGCCCAATGCAGGGTGGGCTCCAGCTCACAAACAGATCATGACCTGAACTGAAGTCAGACATTTAACTGACTGGACCACCCAGGTACCCCTCATTTTTATCTTTATATGTAAAATGTGCCTGAGCCGTGCAGTAGGATAGTCCTTTTTGGCAAGATCTTTATGCTGTAATTTGTAGGGAGTATGGTGGCATAAGTTAAAAAACCAGACAAACTCATTGTCATTTTCATAGACAAAAGCAGAAATTATTCATTGGAAGGTGAAAGTTGAAGTATATAATGTTAATAAGTAAAATGACTTGTTTAATGACCAAGTTGATAATGGTGTGGTTTTTTCATTAGAAATCTCAAAGATAAAAATCTCATATTCTTGAATTACATTCAAAAAAGGGAAAAAAGGAACCAGGAAAATTTGTTTGGAAGAACAAGTCTTCTTAGCACTTCTAAAATATGGTTTGGTTTATTAAAATTTGATTTACATGTAGCAAGTTTGAAACTCTCCTTGGCATATTTGTGAAGTTTATAAAATTAAGGGCTTTTTTCTTATCTAGGACTTAATTTCTTTGGCTATTAGCCACATTTCCTCATGATAAATATTGAAGAAAGAATTTCTTACTCTCTTGTTACTGAGTTGATGTGAAATAATCTAATCACTGTGTTTTGGACCTATGTTTGGTTTATAAATCAGTGGTGTGTTACTAGTGCTTTTTTGGAAAAAAAAAAAATCTCTGGTAGCAACTTAAGTTTTTTTTTATCTGTGTAATTATGGGGTCATAGATATAAGGTATGAATGGACTAAGTAAAATTTAATAGCAAGAAATTTATTAAAAAATGTTGCATTTATTTTATATCTAATTGTGTTGTATCTTTTCTGTATTTGATTGAATTTGATACTTAAGTGAGGATGTTTAAATAAAAATTCTTTACTGCCTTGTTTAAAAGTAGAATAAATTTAAGTGTGTGTATGTAATATAATTTATGTGTAACTGTTCCCAGTTATTTCTCCTCCTGATAGGGAACCACTATTGTAGTGTAATTAGTTTCCTGTATCGCCTGCCTGAAAGATAGTATGCCTGTATAAAAATATATGTAAATATATGCTTTTTCTCTCCACAGTTTTATGTAATAGGTATATTCTATGTATCATTTTTTGCTTTGTTTTATTTATAAGAAATCATTGTGTTCATAAAAACTTCCTCTTTCTCCATAGACTGCATAGTTTGCAGTATATGAATATACTATATTTTCTAGTCTGTATTGGCATATATTTACTTTGTTTCTAATCTTTTGCAAATGCAAATAGTGCTGTAAGGAATAACACAGAGACTACTTCACACATGTGTAATACATTTGTAGGTGATATTCCTGGAAATAGAATTACTAAGCTATGTAGGGGTGCCTGGGTGACTTAGTCGCCTAAGTGTCTGACTTCAGCTCAGGTTATGATCACACAGTTCATGAGTTTGAGCCCTGTTTTGGGCTCTCTACTCTCACCACTTAGCCTGGAAACTGCTTCAGATCCTCTGTCCTCTTCCTTCCCTCCCCCTCTCCCCCACTCTCTTTCATTCTCTGTCTCAAAAATAAACATTAAAAAAATTTAAAAAAGAATTACTAAGATAGGTAAACTTTTAATAGGTATTACCAAATTGGTTTTCATAAAGCCTATATATTAGTCAGTGAGCATTTCACAGCACTCACCAACATATAAGAATATTTTCTTTCCAGGGTGCCTAGGTAGCTCATTCAGTTGAGCATCCCACTTTTGATTTTGGCTCAGGTCATGATCCTGGGATCATGGGATCCAGCCCCATGTTGGGCTCTGTGCTTAGTGTGGAGCCTGTTTGAGATATTCTCTCTCTCTCTTTTTCTCTCTCCCTCCTTTCCCTCCCTCTCCCTCCCCCCTCCCCGTATCTCTCTTTCTCTCTCTGCTCCTCTCCCCTGCTAGTGCACCCTCTCTTAAAAAAAAAAAAAAAAAAAGAATACCTGCTTTCCCACCCTTTCACCTGCACAACACAGGGTTATCAACCTGTTTGATCTCATCTGAAAACAGTATATTGGTTTTAAGTTTAATTGCATTTCAAAGTTTTTTTAATGGGATTGGACATCTTTTCATATATTTAAAGAGCTGTTTTCATGTCTTTCTGTGAACTGTGTGTTACACTTAAGACTCTTGAACCATACTGGGATGCAAGCCAATTATGAAGTATGAATTTACAGTGAAGAATGTTCGTATTTCATGCACTTAGTCCCAATTAATTACAGAGCTAATATTTTTAATATATTAAGTGTGATTTCCACTAAGCATTTTCTGATTTTTACTTTTCATTGTTTAATTATTGGGGGATAGTGGTTAGGCTGAACTATTTAAAACAATTTTTTTAAGTTTATTTATTTATTTTGAGATAAGAGAAAGCACAAATGGGGGAGGGGTAGAGAAAGTGGGAGAACGAGAGTCCCAAGGAGGCCCTGTACTGTCAGTACAGAGCCTGATGCAGAGCTTGAACTCAAGAACCATGAGATCCTGACATGAGCCAAAGTTGGATGTTTAACCTACTGAGCCACCTAGGTGGCTCCCCTCTTTTTAAAAATTCTTATTTTGTCAGATTATTTATATAAGCACACCAGTGGTT